TGGTAGGTGGAGTGGGGGTGTTAGGTTTTATTTTCGTTACGGAATTTCTTGATTCGGTCGCCACGCTCAAAGCCCGCGATAAAAGCTAAGCAATAGCTTAAAAATAATAACAGTATTCGTTATTGTATTCTTTTTTTTATCGTCTATAGATTACAATTTGTAATTGCATATATGAAAAAAAATAAAAAGCACACGCCGCCGTAAATGAGAGCGTTTTAAAGCTTTAAAGTAAAATCTTTTTAAAGCCGAATCCATGAATGAGTTACGGCAGAAATAGGCGGGGCCGCGTTCAAGGTCACTATATCTTAAATGACATGCTACCGTATTTAGTATGATGTGAATCACTTAAATCAATCAAAATAACGTTCGAAACTCAAACTACACTAAATTCATAAAAACAAATACATACAGTTAAAGGTCGGATACCTGATTATGACATCAAACATACTACAAACATAATAATAATAACCAGGAACAAATCACGCACGGTCGTCCAGCCCTAACTAATGATTCCCTGTGTTATAGGTACCAGAGACTGACATAGATACTTATATACGTTTAAATATATACATATATACTCAACGTACTCAACAAATGTTCACGATTGATTTCCACGGGGAAGGAATAACATCGTGTAATAAAAATGAAACCTGCAAAATTATAATTTGCGTAATTACTGGTGGTAAGAGCTCTTGTGAGTCCGCGCGGGTAGGTACCATCACCCCGCTTATTTCTGCCGTGAAGCAGTAATGCGTTTCGGTTTGAAGGGTTGGGCAGCCGTTGTAACTATACGTGAGACCTAAGAACTTATATCTCAAGGTAGGTGGCGCATTTACGTTGTAGATGTCTATGGCCTCCAGTAACCACTTAGCACCAGGTGGGCTGTGAGCTCGTCTACCCACCTAAAAAAAAAAATACATGTATAGATAATAAACACCCAGACAGACAAATCTATTCACCACACGATTCTATGTCCGATGTGGAAATCGAACCCGCGACCCTTGGCGCAACAAGCAGAGGCGCTAATTACTGCACCACCAGTCAAAGCTAGCAATATCGTTTACGAAATTATTTCTCAATTTACAGCTCTTGTCGTTTTGATGAACGACAAATGAAATGTTGTAAGTTCACGTTTTGTAAACGAAGGCTGTGTTGCGTTTTGGAATTTAAATTGCTTCATGTTCTTTATGACCTTTTCATATTTTAATAAGTCGATTCAAAGATTCTTCTAGTTGAACGTAATTGCCTAATGAGATTTTAATCAGTAATCGATACGGCAATAATTATTATAAACTAGCTGACCCGACAGACTTCGTAGTGCCTCAATCGATAAATAAAAGACCTAAACTTTTGTATAAAATAAACTTAAATCATACACAACAAAGAAAAAACAAAATTGTTATTTTTATTTAATTCCGGGCATTTTCATGTTTTACATTGATACCTTTTAAACCTTCTCTGGACTTCGGCAAATAATTCAAGACCAAAATTAGCCAAATCGGTCCAGCCGTTCTCGAATTTTAGCGAGACTAACGAACAGCAATTCATTTTTAAATATATATATAGATAAGCGTATACGTCAAACATTAAACTGAGATATCGACATTAAATAAAAAAATCACTGCAACCTCGATAGTCTGATAGATATGACAGCCAAAAATTTTTTATATTATTATTTAATAATAATTTATTTCAAATATCTATACAAATATAAATCTATGTTGTGTAAAATTAAAAATGAAACCATAACTTTGGCTTTGGCTGTATCAAATTTATCAATTCCACAATGTTATAAAAAAAATCAAGTGAACTGTCAATATTAAACGTATTGCATAACATCAACTTACACTGAAATGTATGTAAAGGCAATTGCAAGAGAGATTCCTTTAAAGAAGATTGTACAAATTTCTGCTGACGCAATCTAGTCGTCAAGGCTAGTAATGCTAAGATGCCGTTGTCTCCGTCAAAAGTTTTCTGGTAAATATTGTCACTAAAAATTTTAAAACTCAAACATGATTTAGCCACTGTTATAAATAATTTTACGTTGTTATAAAATTAAAGGAAATCTATATATTAATACGTGAAGCAAACACTTTCTACCCCTTTTTACGAAAATTGCGCAGACGGAGGAGTATGAAATTTCCCACACTTATAGAGAATATAGAGGAGTGCCGAATGCTAATATTTTTTAAAATTATGCATTAATAAATCAATAAAAAAAACATTACTTACACTAACATGTATTTGACACAACACATAGGTATATACACACATATACTGTGTTTATTTTGAAAGTCTGTGGTCAAATTGAGAATAGAATAATATTGTTTGTCTTTGATATTATTTGTCCATGGGGTAGTCTTGGTGAAATCTGTGATTATAGAAGTATAATAGAAATATAATAGAACCGTAATAATGTCCAAACTTATAATTTCAATTAATTATAGTCGAATTTCGACTACACTGGGACCACTAGTAAAATTTAATTCAATGTCTAAAACTCATGAAAACCGATGATAATGCTACCTATATGATTTATTGACGTTCATGATTTCCAAAGTTTCGCATAACGATTTCTAGGAGACAGTCGTAGTGCTAAAGTGCAATCATTTTGTAGTCTAACCAGAAAAACCCTAAAATAATAATACTATTAAACACTATTTTTCAGTATGCCACCGGTTGTGTTTGCTCACTACCTTAGACACTTTACTAGTGGTAGGACCTCTTCTGAGTCCGCGCAGATGGGTACCACCACCCTGCCTATTTCTGCCGTGAAGCAGTAATGAGTTTCGGGTTGAAGGGTGGGGCATTTACGTTATGGATGTCTATGGGCTCCAATAACTACTTAATACCAGGTGGGCTGTGAGCTCGTCCACCCATCTATGATATAAAAATAAATAAAATAAAAACGTGCGAAGTTTGTGAGTAGGTTAAATACACTACGAGCACTGTGAATGAGACGGTGTTATGCAATACAAATCTCGGCCAAGCAGTTCGGAAGTGACGAACGGTGAGCGCTCTCTGACTTAAGAGCACCTAGTTAAATGTAACATCGTTTCAAAATTTGATGATATTTCTTGTATATAATCGTAAAATCAGTAAGCAAAAAAATTAGTACCTATATCTACCTAAGTGTGTATGTCTATGACTTTTTTTTTATTGCTTAGATGGGTGGACGAGCTCACAGCCCACCTGGTCTTAAGTGGTTACTGGAGCCCATAGATATCTACAACGTAAATGCGCTACCCACCTTGAGATATATATATAAGTTCTAAGATCTCAGTATGGTTACAATGGCTGCCCTACTCTTCAAACCGAAATGCATTATTGCTTCACGGCAGAAATAGGCAGGGCGGTGGTACTTACCGGCGAGGATTCACAAGAGGTCCTACCACCAGTAAGATCTTGTATATAATCGCAATATCATAAAGCAAAAAAATTGTATATCTACCTATGTGTGTATGTCTATGAAACCGCTTAAAACCAGGTAAGCTTATCTACCCAGCTAAAATAATAAAATTCAACGTATAATAAAATAAGGTATAACACGTTCAAAAGGAAATGTTAGTTATCTACACAATCATTATTAATTAACCTTGTTTAATTGGTACATTTTTAACATACGTAAAATATTATAAATACTTGGTAAATACTAATTTGTGCACGTAAAATAAAGTAAAATAATTAATGAAACAGAAAATAAAAATTATTCGTTTTGTAAAATTAACTTGCGATAACTTAAAGGTATAAGTTTTGTATAATTTAATTTCGAAACAATAGCTAATTCGTTTTGAAATATGGTTCCGAAATAATATTTAAAGAGAATTCTCGACGCCAAATATTAAATAAACAATAAAGTCCACAACACGCGAACCGTGTAACAATAAGGAAGTGGAAGTTAGCGCAAACACAAGTGAGAACAAACGCGGTTACGACATTGTACGTCAGACCGGTTTCTGTTTGTTGCATTTTTTATGAGTAAGATGACACTCAACCCAATTTTTTTTCTTCTTATTTTAAATGTATGGATCGGCTTACGGATCTCTTGGCATCGAACGGCTTTCAGGATCGGTTTGCCGTCTCATTATCATGAATGGGGCATGAGGTCGCAGTATCGTTTTAATTGTAATTGCAGTCTCTTTACCAAAAACCTATAACTATTTCTCTGCACAAATAGGCATGAAGTCGTATTCCCGTGGAGACTTAAAAAGCCATTTTACTATTACTCAGAGGCCAAACGAGTTCACAGTTCACTAGATGAGAACTATTAGATATTAAGCCTGTAAATATCACTGATACCACCTACTTAATAGTGATACTATCTTAAGCTAAACAATAGATATCCTACTCTTCAAACCAGAATGCGGAACTGCATAGCCGTTGAAAAGCAGAGTGGTTCTACCTAACTATGCAGCTCACAATATGCCTTACCTTATCATTAGTATTGAAAACTAGTATTGACAAAATGTTAGATAGTAAAATAAGTTTATGATGTTACTATTCCTACTACAGACGAATAATGGAGACGATAACAATAATTTTAAAGATGTCGCGGAATATATATACCTGGAAAGGATATTTATTATGTAGTAAATACGACGCGAATTAGATGAGTGCGTCAGGGGAAACATTATTCCCAAGGACCTCAAAAGCGGCTCATAATACGGTAGGGGTACGGAGAAAGGCAGATATTTAATTTAAAAAAAAAAAACATTACGAGTCAATAATTATTTTATTTGAATTTATTATTGTGTTCATTGTGTGCCTTTACGAAGACATTTACGTAGGTATTCGTTATGTTGAACATTTACTAGAATCATCGCCGAAAACTGTATCTAAAGCTTAAAATGTATGAACAATTATTCAATATGTAATTTAAAAAAATTAATTAAGGTCGTCATCATAAAAAAAACCCCTATTAATATTTTCGCAAAACGTTAAAAAAACACTAAAAGGTTTTCGAGCCCAAGGTTTATAGAAGGTCTCGTAATAATACTCACCAGAGACTCGCAATATAGCAATTCCAATTAAAATAAAGCACTTTGCACTAGTCAACATTTTGTTGTATAAATTTTAATTAAAAAGTCATTAGATAAAATTATTCCAATGAACTGAACTTGAAGTTGGACATTAAAAACACAGACTCAGTCAACGGTTCACATATTTATGATATATTTTTTAAAACTGCATCGATTATATTTTTATTTATCTGCGGAACCCTGTGTCGTATGACGCGTGCGTGCATCGAAGTTACACTGACAGCGAAAGTGGTGGTAGCATTATGCCCACCCTAGGCTCGTACAGGCTTCCCCACTAACGAAAAAGACACGTGAATTTGGTCACTACACAGCTCCGGCAGAATGTTGCAACACACGGCCACTTAAAGTAGGTAATTAGTATTCAAGAACGTGCCGCATATCCGCTTTAAGCGTCGTCCCGTTTCACATATTATTTTTTGTTACTTGGGGTATGACTATAATATTTTTTAATGTTTTTATTGCTTAGATGGGTGTACGAGCCCTGGTGCTAAGTGGTTACTGGATCCCATAGACATCTACGACGTAAATGCACCATCCACCTTGAGATAAAAATTCTAAGGTCTCAAGTATAGTTACAAAGGCTGTTCCACCCTTTAAGCCGAAACGCATTACTGCTTCACGGCAGAAATAGGTAGGGTGGTGGTATCTACCCGCGCGGACTCACAAGAGGTCCTACCACCTATTACTGTGGATAGTGTCGCAAAACTTAACTTGACACTACGGACAGATGAATGGAAATTTCTTTCCTACTTAACTCTGCACTAAATGACTCTTGGCTCTGAAGCATCATTGAAGTTCTGTTTCTACCCCTCGCTGATTTCGAGCAACATTGGATATCTTAGGATAGACCATTCTTGAAAATATGACATAATATATACAAGCTTCAAAGAACAACATTCGTATTACAGAAAATACCCACCTGGTGGATTTAAACCTATTATAGTCGTTTCCCAAATATAGAACAGCAGTTATTTTGTGAGAATGAATTGCTCAAAATTGGCCACCTCAAAGCTGTTCTCCTGCATAAGTGTGATAACCGCTCAGTACCAAGAGCTTTCTTCGGACAGTAGTGAGAAAAGTATTTTCTAGTAAACTCTAGTAGTATAGCAATGTTAAAATAAAATGACAATAAATCTTAAAATCTTACAAAACAGTTTTATGCTACAAATATTCTGAACACAGAAAACTTCTCTATTGCATTAGGAATATGGCAATAAATACAGCTAATTTTTCATTTATACAAGGCTAAAATCACAATATCTACAAAAATATCCACTGAGTTGACACCGGTACAAAGGGAGCGGCCGTGGCATATTACACCTAAAACGCAGACCTCTTGTTTCAAAATGGGTGGTGATGGCATTCACGTTGCGAAGTCTGTGAGTCCCCGGCTGCATAATAATATTGCATAAACAACATCTTCGATCTCTTGAACATAATCCAGTGGACAGAACTTACAAAAAATGCAACTTTCACATTCTATCATTTAGCANACACCGGTACAAAGGGAGCGGCCGTGGCATATTACACCTAAAACGCAGACCTCTTGTTTCAAAATGGGTGGTGATGGCATTCACGTTGCGAAGTCTGTGAGTCCCCGGCTGCATAATAATATTGCATAAACAACATCTTCGATCTCTTGAACATAATCCAGTGGACAGAACTTACAAAAAATGCAACTTTCACATTCTATCATTTAGCATCGGAAACACGTATTTAATATCCTAAAGTAATTAAAACAACCAAACAAAGAGTCAGAAACTCATTTATAATTACTATAGATTGCTCAATAGTATTTATTACTCAATTCGCGGATGTATGGACCTCCAACGTACGTAATTCTACAAATCAAATGAAGGATATTGAGAAAGGCCATATGCGTTTTTGTCGGACGTCAATTGAATATGTGTACATGCCGTTTATGACAAATCGTTATTTCCGACAATTTACGTTTTTGATTTCGTAGGTTTAAAAACTTTTATTAGGAAGGTTCTCGCCACGGTTCTAAGAATATTAGATTTATCTGTTTTCTACCCTCTGCCTAGAACGGTAATTTAAAATCGAGAACATACATTAAAAACCGCGGTAAGTACCCAAATAAATGTAGTAACCCAAATAACCCAAATAATCATAATTAGCTTAATATAGTTTTGTTTTAAATACTGTAAAAATAATTATTTATACATATTAATACGTGAAGCAAAAACTGTGTGTCCCTTTTTCAATACTATTTTTTTTAATAATGCATAAAAGATACATTAAATCAATAAAGAAAACATTACACACACTACCTTGTATTTGACATACACACATAAACTCTTTCTTTATTGTCAAACTTTTGTTATTGCTTAGTCTGTAGTCAAATTGAGAATAGGTTAGTATTGTTTATCTTTAATAGTACGAGAATTTGTCTATAGTGTAGTCTTGGCGAAATCTGTAACAATAGGACCATAATAATGTTGAAACTTATAATTTCAATTAATTATAGTCGAATTTCGACTACTGCGGGACCACTAGTTTATACATAATTCTCTTCATTAAATTCACGACGTTTGCTTTTTCATTATGCGCGGGATGTATGCTCGACTTTTCTCCACTCCAATATTTAATTATCAATCATAATGTAAGGCAAATTAGATATATTTTTTGTTACAGTAAATATTCGAAAGTTGAATGTCGATGCGGAAACCAAAGATAAATTGCATCAGGAAGGACATCATGTTTATTAAAAAGGAAACACAAACTCGCTTTATCTAGCTAGAGTAAAATGACAAGTATTTAAATGACAATTAAAACTCTACATAGCGAAATCAAGTATTTAGTTACCAGAGACGCGACGTTAATCAGAATTTGTATAATTACAGTCCAACCTTCAAACCAATCCTTTTTAATGTCGGCTAGTTGGATAGCCAGTCGTAAACCAATAAGCCAAACCAAATCATAGCATGGAAAGTTAGATATAGAATAAGTACATGAATACTTAGGACATACGTTTATAAATGACCTTAAATGAAATAGAAAAATCAAAAGACTATTTTCAAATTCCATTATCATATTTATTAAATTCTTGACTTAATAAATCTCTTGTGTTCCTGTGGTTCAAACCTTTGGCGAATGGAGATTCAAAATTTGTCGGGAAGAAATAAAAACCGGTGACTCTGAAAAAAATACTTTAGATAATAAATATTAATATTGATAGTTCGTTGCAATTTATTAATCATTGATTTAATTAATGTCAAAAAGGATAAGACCTTGAGCGCCAAGAGTATATAAAAAACAACATTGAAGTGTGACGAGCAAACGATTGTACTGCCCACAGAAAAGTACTGAGTGCAATCTCTTGACGGTGGTCAAACTCTTAGGTGGATTGAGAAAAAGCAATCCTGTCTTAATCTGGCCTTAAGGCCAGAAAGCGCAATTAGTTCAAGGCACATCTAAGCTGAACGATAGTATCGGCTAGTGCGGACTCGTACCGTACCCATTACTCCTGGTATTTTTGATAAGAATTCGGGGTTCAATTAAAGTGAGACGAATATCTTAGCAATTCGTTTATTCACCGTGCACGTGCCAGGTCCACCGTGTTGCTGAGAGAAGAATTTGGAGAATGCCAGAAGACTTCTGCGGCCCTGATATGGGTTTAAGGGTTTGCTATCAATTTGCATTACGTTTACCTTCACTCTGCGTATTCCTCTCCCTGTCTCACCAAATTTGATAGGAATCTACTAGTGTGGCTTTAGATGCTCATTGAAATATAACATTTACGGAGGTTCTTGACAAGCCAAGATCTTTTATAGAGATATTTTGCTGGTATACCTTTCCCCTCCCACTTCTACAGCATAAAAACTGGCCACGTATCGATTTTAGGTTAGCTCGTTCGGAAGAACATAATTATTTTTTTGGGTGGTGTTTGGATATACTGGTTTCCTTCGTATTTATTGGAAAGAAAAACAATACTCCCAATATCTATGAACGCAACAATTATATTTGTTTGGCTCAACTCTAAATATATATTTTTTCCTAGCGTAGACGTTGAAAAGAATTCAGAGCCCTCTGCTTTTAGCTATTTTCCAAGTATATGAACAATATTTAAATTTCTCGTCTTTTTATAGATAAAAATTTTAAACCGAAAGTATTATAAATTGAACTACTTTCTACCAGTACAATGTGAAGTTTGATTTTTTGTGAAAAAACATCGTTACTTATCTAGCTGTCTACAGTCCCAGATTGATGCCAAGTTCACGGACAATTTTGTAACAGCCTTCGGCATAGTTCATTGAACTTTAGAAGTAGAATCGACATAAAACTTTTAGTACGACAACGGTCGTTACGGACATACGTTATTTATTGTAAATGTAACAATTTTAAGAAAATTAAATTTTAGTTACAAATAAACAAGGAACAGATTGCGGTGTGACTGAAACTGAAGGTTTTTGTTCGCGCTTTTTTTTGTCTGTAACATTTCTAATATTTTTGAATTGTAAGTCGAACGATATACGGATTTTTCTATTTTATTGTACATAAATACATTACTTATGTATGTTTACCGATGCTGGTATAAGATATCAGAAATATTTTACGCTTTATTTTCCTTTTATTTTTCGTGAACACCAAATTTGTATAGTACATAAAATGTAGGTGTATTTCACGTATAAAAAACTAAATAAAAATAAAATCTCATAAATAAGTGTTCTGATTTGACGTTTGGATTAAATGTTTATTTCTTTATTAAACTAGTAAACGATTATTAATTGATTTATTTGTACATTCAGAAAACAAATTTGTTGGTCATGCGATTTGATGTAAAGCATCTTTTATTTTGTGAGCCAGTAGGTATAGTTTTTCGATATTCGATATTCCATTGCCAAACCATATTCCAACATGATGTTGTACAAGTGTTGTAGAGACAACATGAGAAACTACAACGCCCTATTGAATTGGCGCGAGACAGCAGCAAATGGAGACAAATTACTGGTGGTAGAACCTCTTATGAATCCGCGTGGGTAGGTACTACCATCCTGCCTGTTTCTGCCGTGCAGCGGTAATGCGTTTCGGTTTGAAGGGTGGGGCAGCCGTTGTAACCGCACTTGAGGCCTTAGAACTTATAGCTCAAGTTGGTGGTGCATTTATGATAAAGATGTCTAAGGGCTCCAGTAACCACTTAACACCACGTGAGCTAAAAAAAAAGTTCACTATTTTATAACAAAATATTAGATGATAAGCAAGTCAGGAAGCATATTTTACAGTTGAGGAAAATGCTCTCGGTGAAAGTGTGGAAGCGCTACGGTACATATGTATATTTAAATCTCTAATAATATGGTTACATATTATTTAGTTTTCATTCACAATCGAACTTTTTATTGGGACTTATGTAGATATTCGTTATTGTATTCACTTAGATCATTAAAGAAGTAATATGTATTCTTAACAAACTTTAGCAGGGAAATAATCTTATATATCAATATTCGATAAGATTTAACAACTGAAAGGGGATATGTTTAATTTTCAAATAATGCTTAATTATCTAAAATAGTAATAATCTAATAATACTAGAATAAGGCCAGAAGATCTTATATGATTTTCTGTAGAGACCTAGTAGGAGTATCCTCAACTAATTTTACTAGTCTCTACTCCTCTTTGTCTTCTCTTTAACTAACTATCCCCTATCTCTTCCAGTCTTGGCTACTGGAAGCATTGTTTTCAATGACCCTGCGCGGATTGTTACTTACCACCTTTAACCTTACTTCTGCAGTGACCTTCAAGTTTAACGGGTAGAACATCTTATGTATCATTGCAATTAAGATTTTATGTTATGGTGCCTGAGGATTCCGGTGACCGCTTAGCACACGGTGAGCCATGAGCTCGTCTGAAGATCATAACTAGAAAAACGTTAAAATAAATTTCATACGTACTCCAAAGATACATATTCGCCAAATAATATCTCATCACTCGAATTGATTAGCTCACACCAGCCGATCATGTAAGTGATCCAAGAAAAACATTTCGTTGCGTAAAAACCAACGTCTGTTATAATAGACTCCGCGTAGTATATCGGTGCCCTGGCGTGGTCGCAACCGGATTTTGCTGGAAAGGAAATTTTTGTATTTTAAGCTTCATCGAGATTGAAATTACGTAAAACTGTTATGCGGACTATTATTATTGATAGTTTTTTTTTATTGCTTAGATGGGTGGACGAGCTCACAGCCCACCTGGTGTTAAGTGGTTACTGGAGCCCGTAGACATCTACAACGTAATGCGCCACCCACCTTGAGATATAAGTTCTAAGGTCTCAAGTATAGTTACAACGGCTGCCCCACCTTTCAAACCGAAACGCATTACTGCTTCACGGCAGAAATAAGCAGGGCGGTGGTACCTACCCGCGCGGACTCTCAAGAGGTCCTACCACCAGTATTGTGTATTTTGATAAATCACAGATGAGGCAACTATTTGAATAGATTTATACGTTCAACGTTAATTTGAACGTATAAATCTAAATCCTCAGATATATTGTGATTGTATAGACAAATAAATAAATAAGTCATGAACAAGCGTAGCGATGTGATCGGAACACAAATCTGAGGATTTAGATTTATACGTTCAAATGAATTAGATTGAATTGGCGCTATTACCAATTTTAGGGAGTAATATGTACCTGCACAAGTACTTACGCGCCACGGTTCTGCCGATATCTGTCACGAAACACTTATGGGTTCGGACTTTTAAGGATGAAAAGTCATTATACAATATTGACCTAATATTTTAAGGTGAACATTATTTAATATGAAAGACAACATCAGCTAGTATGTAATTAATGTAAATATGAAGCATATGAAAATAATCTAGGTTATAAAGTATAGTTTTGTGGATATTTGAGTCTAGTTGTTTACTTTGTTCTTCAGAAGCTTTACAGCCGGGTTGAGTGAGACCACCGTTGGCGTAAAAGTCTACATGACCGCTGGCTTCTAATTTTCCTTTTTCTAAAGCATTCGTATGGAGAACGTCTACAAAATCTGCATCAGTCATGTCAACCTTTCTACTGTTGTCAGTTGTAACAAACAGGGGCATAGCAGGATCTAATGCTAAAACAAAAAAATCTTCAAATTAAGATGAGTCGTTAAAACTAAAATATCTTCAATAAAAAACTATCTGGTTCCGATAATTTTATCGATGACACCGAAGCTTGTCAATAGCTAACTAACCAAAAAAAGAACATGAGTTACCGTCAAAAGTAGAAAAAGAGGTCAGATTTGTTTTTGTTTTGCTAGTTATATATTCAACGAACCTAAGTTACGATTTTATATTTAGACAAAAACAAGTAAATTTAAACTAATAGTAAATTTAAGCGTATACGTAATATATATTGCTAAAAACGCTTGATCCCGAACCACATGAATTCAACGAAAGCCAAAAAAAGATCATTACTGATTTATTTATTACTAGCGACCCGCCCTCGTTTCGCTTCGGAAACATTAAATTTTATTATTGATATTGATGATAATTATTATTGATCCCACGATGCTACTCGCGGTTATTGTCGTACCGCGGGTGATGCCGCAGGGCGAAGCTAGTTTAAAAAAGTAGCCTAAGTTACTCCTTATATCATCAGCTACCTATCAGTGACAGTCTCGTCAATATCGGTCCAGTCGTTTCAGAGATTAGCCGGAACAAGCCGACAGACAGACAACAATTGAAAAAAATGTTATTTTGGTGTATGTACCGTATATTATATTCATATGCATGTAGTAAAAAGCGGTTATTTCAACAAACAGACACAAAAATCTAAAACAAAGTTTCTGACGTACCGGTAATTCTCGATAGTCGTCCACTGATTAGGTAATTTGCCATGTAACCGGCTGTTTGAGCACCAAGACTGAATCCGATCACGTGAAATCTTTGCATCTTAAAACCATGTATTTTGATCAGATTATCTATAAGTTGAGCGGTACATTTTCCAACTAGCTCTGTGTTTCTAGCTGATTCCAAATAGCAAGGCTCCAATGCTATGTTATTATAGTCCACACTAATAACATTGTAATCGCAACATTTCATGTAGGCTGAAACAAAAGAAGTATGATAAATAAAAATACTCTATTATTATACATTTAAGTATTCTTTGAAATAAGTTAATGGAGGTTGGAACTGTGTATTGAAGTATATTTTGCTGAGTTTAGACATAGAAATCTAATTAGGTCACATATGTTTTTGAAATTGAAAATTGTCTTCTTTTATCAAAAGTAATTTTTATTCAAATAAAACAAAATAAAACGATATTTGGAAATCCGATATTCAAAGGGAAACATTTATACTAAAAGTAAAAGTTCTGCTGAAAAAGAATGCAGTCTAGATTATTCCTGAATATGAAATCAAATAAACTTGGAGTACCAGGTCTAATTTCAGTGTTAGGTGAGAAATCTCTATGACCCGTGTACCCGTGGATCAGTATCTTGATCGGAGCGTCAGTAACCCACGGTGCTTCGGTTATAGAATTGTTGTCATCGGCTAATAGTTGATGAGGACTGTGTTCGTTGGCCCTAAAAATATAATTTGTTTCAGTTACAAAACCGTTTGTAATGCTAGAATTAAACTTTGCTATCTTTTTATTTCAAGGAGCAGAGCTACTGCACCATTTATCATTGTTGAAAAATTTATCCCTTACACTTAAAGCCCTTGTCTAAAATATATTTTTATATAGAAATAACGGCTTATTTCAGTTGCTAAATGTTTTCGTATGACCAATTAGTTTTCATATGAATTGACTGACGGGCGTAGGTACAACGTTGACCGTGCAAGATCTAAAGTTTTTAGCCACATGTATGAAAGTAATATTGGAGCGAAATTCACTTCAGCCTCAACGGGCATGTCCATACATAGACCTGCGAATATCATAAGTACATGGTATATGCCTACCTAATAAAGTAAATACCTACGATAGCTGTGTGGGTAACAATGTCCGATAGAAGTAATTTTTGGGCCCATTATTGCCCATATGGGGCAATTATAACAAATATTTACTGTTAAGTGTACCGACAAAATGTTACAGGAATTTCTAGCACTACAGCCACAGCAGATATGAGAATAAGAATGCGTGATTTTAGACAAGACTCAAGCAAACCAAAAGCAAGGATTATACGAAAGGTGTCTGCAATCACATGTTTTTTTTGTCGAAATCTGAAATTTTGGAAACTCGGTTAGGGGAATAATCCGATAGAGTCCGATGTTATACACCAGGACAGTTGGTAGCATTCATTTTCGATTACCTATATATCTCCATTCGTCACTTAAGATCATAACAACTAATTTAAGGAAATAAAAAAGATTTTAAACTTTCAAATTTTTGTTCGAAATTAATGTCATAGTTTTATTAAAATATGTCTATAACAATCTTCAAACTGCTGATCTGTTGGCATTATAAATAAGCAGAATATTGAACATACTCGCACACACCCAGAATGCGCTTTGCCAAAATAAAAACGAAAATAATAATAATAAAATGAAAAATAATCGAATAATATTTAACTTACCGAGTGTACAACCAGAAAGTAATATTTTTATTTGGACATTCCAAAGGTGGCGTAACACAACTTAAGCACGCTGTTATTATACCTGTAAATGTTTATGATTTTAAATACCAATCCATTTTTTAGTATAATAATCAATCTGATAGATTTTCGGTCGACTTAGACTGAGTTAGAGTCTTAATTGAATTATATTTGTTGAACTATACTTCGCATACTAACGTATATTTGACAGGTTATCACAATCCCTTTCGAACTAAAGAAATAAATAAACTTATCAGACTGTAAAAAATAGAGAAGTAAGTGATCTGGTCTGTTAGAAATTTGAATTTGCGACAGTCTGGCAGACGTGACCGCTCGTGAACACCCGTCACAAAATCAAGGATATCCCGTTGATGATCATTAGTAATACTAAATACTACATAATTCTATTTAAGTGCTAATTAAAGTGAGGCGTTTTTGTATTTTTCCAATCATGTTTTAATTCATGGCCTTTTCAAAACGAATACACATTAACATAAACATAAGGTTTTATAAATAATGAAAACACTCCTGAATGTGTACAATTTTGAAATTACTTTTATACGAGTATCATTGTTGTATTTTATTATTTACCCGAGTTATTTCGAAACTATTACAGATACTAAGTACTGATTCATCATTTTGTTTTGTTTTGTTTTACCTAAATGTTTAGAAACAGTTTAAGAGTTTGTTTTTTGACAATTGTCGGTAACAAACTACAAGAGGAGTACTCTCTCTTGCAGTTTTAATCTATGTATTTTACATTGTTATAAACAAGGAGTGAAACAACAAAAAGTTGAAACTTATATACCTTAATTACCGACCTACCTTACACTGCCTAACATTTTAATGTCACGATAAGACCTTACTAATTATAATTCTTGTTTTCTTGTTCCAATAATTGGATAAGAATTTACTGAAAAACAGTATTTAATAAAAGGAAAATTTCTTCAGAAAAAAACTTCGAACCGTTTTAAAAATCAGAAAGGTATTGCTTCAGAAAGAGACCAAAGTTTTTCCACATCCCATTTTTTTCCCATTGGTGTGGTTTTTTTTTATAGCCCTTGTAGGCGAGCACACGGCCTACCTGATGGTGAGTGGTTACCGTCGCCCATGGACTTCAGCAATGCCAGAGGCAGAGCCAAGCCGCTGCCCACCGTTTAATGCTCTCCACAAGCCTCGTTTGAAGAAGGACATGTCATAGCGCTCGGGAAACATCGTGGAGGGGAGCTCATTCCATAGCCGGATGGTACGTGGCAAAAAAGACCTCTGGAAAAGCACTGTGGAGGACCGCAGTGACTCCGGGTAGTATGGATGTACTCTACTCCGGTGGCGGGCAGTGCGATGGTAAAAACGAGATGACGGTATCATCTCGAACAATTCCTCAGAGCACTCCCCATGGAACATACGGTACAAAATACAGAGGGAACTGAGGTCCCTCCGCAGACCCAGAGGTTCCAGGTGGAGAAATTAATGTTTTTTAAGTTTTTCTAAAACAATTTAAATGGTAATGTACGATGTCAGAAATAAATATCGTTATGTAGCTTTAATTATTATATATTATTAAATTGTTATACTAAATATTATTTCTTAATCTCAGTCTGTGTTTGGTATTTCATTTGATTGCTTGTTCTGTATTTGATGACCGCATTGATCTATTGTTAGACTTGAGTGCTTATATTTTTGTTATATATAGGGAAATAAGCAACTCGGAAACCGCCATTTTAGACAGCGGTATGACAGTTCCCCTGGTATTGTTGATGTCATTGGGTGACTAGTTACTATCAAAGGGGTCATATGCCCTCTTGCCTTTAAAACCAATAAACAACCATGTTAATAAACGTAATCAAAGTCTCAATTGTATTGTAGCCGCTCCACCCCTCAAACTAGAGCGCATGATTGCTTCGCGGCAAAAATAACACATATAGACAGAATCGCGGTACTTAAATATTGGGGCTATCAATATGCTCTAGCATCATTAATGGTGATACACTGGTATAATGTTCAAATAACGCTACTGCCCATTCTATAGCGAATCTCGAAAACCGCGCCTTTACCCACAGAGAGAAATCGGATCGTGCAATTCTAGGCCAAAGCCACACCACCAATAATATTTCAGAGATATATATTATAAATATGACTAGCTGACCCGGCAAATATTTTTTTGCCTTATATAAGATTTCTAGGGAATTTCTAGTGTAGAAAAAAACTAACTTATTTTAAGTGTGTAAGGATGTGGTAAATGAGTGAAAGAGCTATGTAGTGCTGTGAACGATGAGGGAATATATAATAAAAATAACAAAACCTCATTCAACCACATAATACCTTATTATAACAAAAAAAAGTCCAATAAAATAAAAAATGTTAGGGGTGGACAACCATAATCACTTAGGGGTATGAAAAATAGATAGTAGCCGATTCTCAGGCTTACTGAATATGCATAAAAAATTTCATGAGAATCGGTCAAGCGGTTTCGGAGGAGTATGGGAACGAACATTGTGACACGAGAATTTTATATATTAGATTAACTCAAACCCGTTGAGAAAAATGAGGTGTATTTGTATAATTTTAAAATACTTTTGCATCCGCGAGAACACGGTTACGTCTGTTATTTTAGAAAAGAAATTCCGAGATATTTTGATCTGTTAATGGAAATATTGATTTTTATTAGCATATCTTTAAACCCTATATGAAATCGGTGTGTAAAAACTTATTTTATTTTAAAACAAGATTGATTTCGTTTTAAATTACCGTAAAAATGTAGAGTGCGTTTAGAAACATAATATATTGAATAAGTCGAAAGATAAATTTCGATGTCGATAAATTTTTAAAACATAACACCGAGCACACTTCATAAATCATTTATCAGTACATACTCACAGCTGTAATACATTATTTGGTAATTTATTAAAATAAAATCAATAGCCAAATGCAGACTTACAGAGAAAAAATCCATGAGAGTATAATAGACGTCGTAACATTGTAGATGAATATTTATAGTGACTGAAAAAAATTCAAACCCACTGTAGCTATCACAGCTATTTACACGATACTTCCGTCTCCGCGCTGCTCCTAAGTCTGTTAACGTCCGTACATTGAAATCAACTGTTTCCAAACATAGAGAAGAATAGAAAATTCAGCGTTTCTTAATATCTATCAGCAACGTATCTCACTACTGCTTTGTTTTGTTCCAGCTTATCGACTTAAGTGAAAAATAACGCTACGTAACATTCGAATTCATGATATATAAGCACTTCACTTAAAAAGATAACCTTAACTGCGTAATGGTACGCAAATTTATAACTGAAGTAATAGAATGGATGATACAGTTATAATGCCATCACGAATTTTTAACTTTATGACACACTTTTTTATCGTTATACGACTGCGCGCTGAATTTTTTTTTTGTTCTGCCGTATAATTTCAGAATATATGACCCTAATAAAGTAAATTAAACTGAAGCATAAAGTACAAAACTATTGAGTTTTCAAGGTGGAAATTATAAAAGTGTGTTCACTAATACTCACGGTAGGTAAGCAGCCCATTAACAATTAGTTTAAATTATTGGAACGCTGTGTGACGTGACGGTTATGTTTGTAAATTTTTTATCTTACTGGTGGTAGGACCTCTTGTGAGTCCGCACGGGTAGGTACCACCGCCCCGCTTATTTCTGCCGTGAAGCAGTAATGCGTTTCGGTTTGAAGGATGGGGCAGCCGTTGTGACTATACTGAGACCTTAGAACTTATATCTCAAGGTGTATGGCGCATTTACGTAGTAGATGTCTATGGGCTACAAAAAAAACTATACAAAATATTTTTTCGAAAAACCATTGGTATACACGGTAAAATGTCTTGAGCTAAAATCTTGGGTAATCTTGACAAAAACTCTGTATAAAAACGTGTTGCTCCTTCAAATGTTACAAATACAACAAATAAGGGAAGAAATAAAATGCAATTTTTTTTACAACGAAAGTACTCAAAGGATTTTTTGTTCCAAATTACGCGGGTGACATTAAAATTATCGTTAGCGTTTCATCTTATCAGACTTACGTGTACTTTAGGTGGTTCCCTTGTTTCATATAATTACAGTCAAGACCGCGTCTGATAATGAATTAAGGGCACGAATGTTTGCAGCAACAATTAGCCTTTACGGAATCTTGGAACGCTTCCTGACACATTGTTCATTATTCATTTGCTCAAATGTATTGTTTGACAAAACTAGGTCATACTCAAAAAAATATAAAGCGTTTTAAATATTATAGGTATAAATGGATATTTGAAATAACACAGAATAAATATAATTCATTTTTTATTTATTTGTATAAATCAGTCGGTTCTTTTAACAGAAAACGCATTTGGCACTTTGTTCATTAATTAATAATATGGCTCAATACAATCGTCATTAAAAAGAACCCTGGATGTACTATTTATTACTACATAGTTGAAAGTAATAGCTTCCAGAAAACATGTATCACAATACTTAAACTTACATAAATATTTCACACTATAAGCGTATTTGTCTTATTTACAGTAAAATAATAGAGAACATTGCCTACATCCAGAGTCTAAATTATTTTGTTCTGTTCATATAAAACAAATGCAGATTTTCTGTACAAAACGCAAATATCCTAAACGTTATAAAATATATCTACACGTATATGTATTTACAGTGAGGTTTTATAGCTTAAACATTAATCTATACATCACAAGAAGATTACATACTATTATACAAAAAGAATAACAATATATGGCAAGAGGTTTGGAACGCGAAATCTTGATACAAGATCCCAACGAAACAGTTTTTACAAAACTCAAAACAAAGTATTATTTACAGTCTTATATTATCATATTAAACATATTCTTCAGAAGGTTTTGGCGTGCCGTTCTGAAGTCTTAACGAAGATGACATACGCCCGTTAACAGCGTCTGGTAATTCAGCAATGTCTTTAAAAACCCCGATCATACTTTCGAAATTGGGTCTCCAGTTAAAGAGATGATCCCAACCGAGAGCGGCTGAGGCTGGTGAACCATTCGCTTGTCGATATAAAGTTGAACTGACATGCGGCACAAGATCATCATCCGAAGCTACTAGAGTGCTTAAAGAGCCTCGAAATGAAGAGTCAAAACTTTCATATGGTGGCGGTAAAATTGATTTCTTTGTGTTATTTGCGTTGCTCACATTTGGTCTCCTAACGTCGTCAAGTTTTTCAGCATTAATACTGTTGTTATCATATTCGATTTCGGAGCAAGTAAAACTGTCATTACCGCTTTCATCATCGGACCCTGTTGAACTTCTATTGTCGTCTTGAGGGGAATGATGTCTATGTGACATGTGATGTCCTACTCCAGTACCTCGTTGTGCTTCACTGGAGCTAGAAACTGCATCTAATGTTGACACTAAGCTCGACGTCCTTTGTCTCGCATTCATTCTTTCTATTTCTTCTGCAGTTAAGCCGACAGCCCCTGATCCTACGGACACTACTTGAGGTACTTGGGGTGTAGCACTGGGTGTCTTTCTTCCAGCTGATGAGCTTTGTCCACTTAACTGAGACATCACAGGGCTGTTTAGGCTACGTTCACTATTACTATGTAAAGCATCTTTGCCCACACCTCCAGAACTGGACGTTGTAGCAAGTAGAGCGCTTTGCAAAGGTTTTCCTGATATATCGTGCAGGGTCAATATACGAGGCTGCTGGCTTAATTCACTACTTGGTGATAGTCGTGCAAGTGGCGTTGTTTGATGTTGACGTGGTTGGGGTGGGGGCTGAGAAGCCTGCTGTAGTACTCTGGACGGGTATCCACCTGGGTGATGAGGAGAGTGACGATGTTGAGGAGTTTGATGTTTATGATGATAACCGGTTAAAGGTGGTGGAGTTGCTTTATATTTTCGGACATTAGCCGCTTCTCGAAAACCTTTGTAGTGATAAACAATATCTATATCAGAAGGTGCTATTGAACTTGCATTTTCTAAATCGTAATGTTCTGGTATTTCTGAATTTAGGTCCATTCCACTTGGATGATCATGGTGATGTGAAGTGTTGGTCGAAAGAGGTGGAGGCGGATGATGATCTTCTCTTAAAGCTGGGCTTTTCCCAACAACTTCTCGTTCAATGATGTCGGGACGTTGCGGCCTGAGTGGGTCTATATTCATTATTTCTCTGTCTTTATATTTTTTTGATAAAAGTTCAGGACCAACAATATGTCCGACATTACGTGTTATATCAACGCTTTCAGAAATATAACTGTTTAGGCTAGTGTCATTGTTGTGTAAGCCACGATTCATCAAACTTTCATTGGTTCCAGCTATCAGGTTTGGTGCATTAGACATGGATGTTCCACCATTTTGCTTCGAATGAACGGCATTCATTTTCCCTGTGGAGCCACCAACTTTTTCCTTTTTTTGCCTTCGTAAACGATAGAATATAATAGACACGGAAATAGCAACAAGTAAAATTACGAAAAACACAATGACAAGTGTAATACCAATACGCAGGGGATCTGGGTTTTGTGCTGCCCCAATACCAAATGCACTGTGGCAACCATTTAGAAGTTTCCCTTTTAAAATGGTTTCCTTAAAAATACTTCCATTCCCAGCAAACGGCTGTATTTCATTATTAATAGAAAAGTTGGCTAAGCAACCTTCAAATTTGTTTTGGCTCGAAGTCATTAATAATTCAGCTTTTACTCCTCCTAGGGACATTACAGTGAGATACGGATCTAAGAAATCGTGTACACCAGCAGCATCCAGCTCTTCCCCAACATCATTATTGTCTACTAACAATCGAATACTCCTTCCAAATGACAATAAGGTTATATTATGCCAGGTACCATCAGACACATCATTCTGTTCATTTTGTGTCATATTCACCACGGAATTCTGTTTTGAAGTATAACTTACTTTTCCTTCGTGTAATTCAATTAATGTAAAATACTTTTCAGTGGCTGCGTAAAACAGTATTCCATCTTTTCTGTGAGTCCGAAAAAGAAATGACAACATTTTGGCTGGACTATTTGTACGTGTATTAATTTTACTAAGAACTTTATTAGCGTGTTTTTCCCACATGGTATTTCCGCTGTAAAATGTATCCAATAACTGCATTCTCCGATGTTTTTCTGATATAGCAAATGATATAAGCCCTGTTTCTCCGACTGAAATAGATTGTAAGGCGGCTGAACAATCAGGTGCAATAAAAGTACCATCACATTTACACAAATTGGATTTCCACCGGTCGATGCATTCTCCAAATCCACACATAGCTTTTTTATAACATGTTCCTTTTTCGGATCGACCACAATTTGCTTCAACACCTCGGGAATTTAAAGGATTTGAAAGATTTAGCAAACGACCATTTATGGTTATGCTATGCATACATCCTACGAAGTCATCAGAGTGGACTTGCCCTGGGCGTTCTAACAGAGGATCAGCTTTGTGAATTCCTCCAATCAAAAGTGGTTCGTTGTTGAAGTTCAAAGTTCTGTAAATAATAAAAAAAGAGATAAAAAAATTTGCAAGCTTATTTTACAATAATGTCATTTCAAAAGTACTAGTGTTTCTACATTTGAAAATAGATCACGTAGACTATTAAACATACCCGGCTTGTCCGGTGTCATCATTGTAACAGGAGTCGTCTCCAGGTTCGCATTCCATACAAATATCTCCGTGATCAGTGCAAGATGTTGTACTCAAAGATATGACCCTTCCATTTCTTGTTGCAGTGAGTTTATGCCAGTTGCCGTCCGCTAAATTTTTATTTGGATTCGATATGGCTACAGATGTTATTGAAGTTCTTGCACCCCCGAAAGAAAAAATAGGTTTTCCATTAAGTAGTTCAATAGCTATGAAGTCAGATCTGCCTCCAGTTTGCGCGCCGAAGTTGTATAAAAGTAATGCATCCGGTTTCGTTGTTGCAAAAATTATCGTGATGTCATTGGTCGATGCATCCAGTGCCGGGAACTGCATATATGATAGTTCGTCGAATCCAAATGTTGTGCTTTCACAATGGGTTCCGTAACGTCCATCCGAACAACTACATTTATAGCCAGGTTTTAAGCTGACACATATTCCACCATATAAGCATGGATTTGGTCGACATGAATCTACCAGAGCTTCACAATGATTACCCCGATATCCGGGCCGACAAAGACAGAAGAATGAACTACCATCTGCACTTTCTTTACAAGAACCTCCATTTTTACAAGGACTGCTACTGCACACATCATTTTTTTCTAATTCGCAAGTTTTCCCATCACGGCGAACAGGGCAAGTACATAAGAAATCATGTCCTTGTTTTCGACAATGTCCTCCATAGCGGCAAGGATTAGGTGAACAAGGATCTTGACGTTTTTCGCAATTCTTTCCCATAAATCCTTCAGCACAATGACATTCGTAATCATGTTTAACGAAAGGTGAAGATAAGATAATTGCTGAACTATCTATAATTTTTGTGTCTTCTAAAATCTTAATGGAATTCGTACATAAGCCACCGTTTTGACATCGATGTGACGAGCATGGATAATATCCGATAGTAATTTCGTGCTTTAATAATGTAGTGATTTCGAATTCTTTATTTTTTAAGTAATGTTCTGTTGATTCTTTCTTAGAAATAGAGTTGTTTCCTTTCAAGGCTACTGTTAGGTCTAAATAGTTGGGTACTTCATTGACGCCGTATAAAAAAATGGTTTCCTTATTTTTGTCTAGCTTGGCGTTAAGAATTTCCAACAAACTGCGATAGAAATGTGTTAAAAAAAATGTTGCCGTCATATTCATAACTCTGATGGTGACCGATTCTTCCACAGTGGTGTTGTCAAAAGAAAAGTATTCGACACTTACTGAGGATATGACGTCTTTGTGAATACCGTCATTACCCAGCACTGAAAAAGAATAACCTTGACCAGGTTTTATAGTATTAGTGTAGAGGTCACATCCAGATCTGATATTCAACAGTGAAAGTGTTCTATCTGAAGTAGAATCTCGAATAATCTTACATTTATAGTCACCAATAATATCAGGATCATTAGGTTTAACGTCAGCAATTTTTCCATTCGGCACTTTGTTATTAAATGCATATACAACAACATGAACCGATCGAGGAGTCGGCGGATTATCATTTCGGTCGAGAACTTTTATTAATATATCATATTTAGATCGCATTACAGGTGTTCCACTATCTTCAATTTGTATACTTATTTCGAGTATCGGTGTAGCTTCCCTGTCGATTTTCCTGGCTGTGGATAATACGCCTGTATGCTTATTTACATTTATAAAGCTCTCATGTTTCCCACCTATAATGGAGTATGTAAAAGGTGCACCATTTGGTGGCAAATCTGGGTCTGTCGCTGATAATGTTGTTATGCTGGTGTTAGGTGGCTCATTCTCGTACACTGATCCTTCAAAAGAATTGATGTCGAAAATAGGACCGTTGTCATTTATATCAGTCAACATTATTTTGACTGTCGCTGTTCCTGTTTGGGGTGGTGAGCCGGTATCTATTGCACCAACTATTAATGAGTATGCAGGTAGTTTCTCTCTATCTAACTTCCTTGCTACTTCTATTTTACCATTCTGTGGATCTATTTTGAAACTTTGTTCAATATTTCCGCCGATAATTGAGTAGCTGAATTGATTATTTTGTGGTCTTACATCTTTGTCTACAGCCTGTACCTGAATAATTTCGTGGCCAATATAAGCTCCCTCAGATATTGTAGCTTCATAATTAAGGCGTAAAAACTCTGGAGGATCATTACCGTCTTGGATTGAAATTATCACTTGTGCTTCATCAGTGTCGTTACCTCGAATACCTCCAGAGTTTTTTGCAAGTACTGTTAATACTACTCTATTTTGAGTTTCTCTGTCCAAATACCGTGCCACTCGAATAACGCCAGTTTGAGAATTGATTCCAAAACCTTTATCATTACTTGAACCAACAAATAAGTAATAGATTATTCCATCATCACCACTATCCTGATCTGTAGCTTGTATGACTCCAACATTTGTTCCAACTTCGGCTGATTCTGATACGTCGAAATGAAAAACTGGTTGTTTGAATTTTGGATAGTATTCGTTAACGCCTGTTATATGAATGATAATATTGGTTGTGTTTTTCATTGACGAATCGGGGTTTTCAGCTCTCACTGTTAAATCATACAGGTTTTTTTCTTCAAAATCAAAAACTTCTTTCGAATATATTTCTCCGGTGTTCTCATCAATGTTAAATAATGATAGCATATTAGAGTTTAAATAATACTTGATTATTGCATTTTTTGGTGAATCGATATCTACAGCGGTCACTCTATAAATAAACGTGTTTAAAGGTGAGTTTTCAGGCAAAAATGCGACGTAGGTTGTTTGATTAAAAAAAGGTGCATTATCATTAATGTCTGTCAAAATAATAGTCAATGTCGCTGTTGCTTTCTTTGACTTAAAGCCAAGATCATTGGCTGTGATATTGAGTCGATATTCCTGTATTGTATCAAAATCCAGCGGTCGCATTATGCTAATAGCACCAGATATAGAATGTATTTGAAATTCGTTTCCTTCATTTCCGGACGAAATGGAATAACGAATAATTCCATTAGGTCCATTATCTTCATCACTAGCCTGTATAGTCAAAATTGACGAACCTACAGGTTCATTTTCAGGCACTATAACTTGATAGCTTAAAGCCGTGAATTTTGGGCTGTACATATTTTCACCGGTCACAACAAAAACGATTGATGTTTCGTCTGATTGTGGCGGCACACCGCGATCTGTAGCTTTTATTTTCAGTTCATAGTATTGCCCTAAATAATAAAATTGTTTGTTTACGATAATCCACCCACTATTTGAGTCAATAGTCAAGTACGACGAACCATTACCACCAGACACGTAATATTCAACTTCAGCATTTATTCCAAAGTCCATGTTGTCTTCTGCTTTCATTTTTATTATTTTTTCACCAATAGTGGCTTCTTTAGGAATAGGTATTAGTTTCTCATGATCCCTGAATTTGGGTGCATTATTGTTTGCATCGACAACGTTTATGATCACTAAGCACTCTGATGACATTGGAGGTTTCCCATTATCTGTAGCTACAACAACGACAGAATATGTGTTTTCCGGAGATGAATTTGTGGACGTTCTTTTATAATTCATGGTGAATTTACTTAAAATCTCTCCAGTCGCTGGATCTATTGAGAACAAATCTGATGGTTGTTGTAACGAATATGATATTATCGAATTTGGACCTTGTTTGTCTCTGTCCGTAGCGATTACTTGTCCAACAAAACTGTTCTTAAATTGCATTTCAGGAAAATTAAAACTATAATAGGAGTACTCAAATTCAGGTGCGTTATCATTTTGATCTTGTATAGTAATGGTAAGGGCTGTTTCAGATCGCCATGCTCCGTCGATAGCAGCGACTTTCAAAATATATTCGTCCTGTATTTCTCTATCTAAGGAACCTGCCACAGTAACATTTCCAGAGATTGGATCAATAATAAATTTATTTCCAATATTTTCAACAAAACTATACGTAGCATTTGCATTTGACCCAGTATCCAAATCAGAACTGGTCACTCTTATTACAAAGGAACCGATTTCTGCATTTTCAGTTACATTAACACTAAACAGCCTTGTGAATCTAGGAGGGTTGTCATTTTTATCCAAAACTGTTATTATTACTGTTGATGTACCGCTTAACTGTGGAAGGCCATGATCTTCAGCTTCAACAATTATTTCATAATATGGTATAGACTCACGGTCAAGTGCCATATTTGTATATATTTCACCTGTTTCAGAATCTATACTAAATGTTTCATCGTAATCATTTACTAATTTATAAGATATTCGTCCATTTTCATTAGAATCGTAATCAAAAGCATGAATTACTGCCACCAACTGAGGAGGGGATTCTTCTTCCAACACTGTAGCATTATACAAAGAATTTTCTATTATGGGAGCATTGTCATTGGCATCTGTGACTTTTATTTCAACTTCGATAAAAGATTTCAAAGGAGGGTTATCAGAATCTTTTGCTTCAAGCCATACTTCATATAATGGCATTGTTTCGTAATCCAAACCTTTTCCAGTTAAAAAAACTTCTCCACTCATTTGATCTACACGTAGTGCATCACCAATATTTCCTCCCGCTATTCCATATTGTAATAGCCCAGCAGGACCGGATTTTGGAGATGTAGCTGATAGCCTTGTGACTAATACACCTTCTGGAGTATCTTCGGAAAACGTAAACGAAAGCTTGTTAGTCACAGAGAACTTTGGAAAGTTTCTGACGGATTTGAGAATAAGTATCAATTCAGCTGAACTTTCTTTTGGTGGTGTTCCGCTATCTTTTGCAGTGATTACCAAATTGAACGATGATATACTTTTGTCTTTATAAGTAATAAGATTCTCTTTTGCTTTTATGACACCCGTCTCTTTGTTGATGGTAAACAAATGCTTGTGTTCTCCTTCTAAATCATATTCAATTTTTTTACTCAATCCTATATCATTATCTGTGGCTTTAACTCCAAAGACAAAATTTCCTTTCATAGTCCTTTCAGAAATTTGTGTTTCATATACGGGATGTGGGAACGTCGGTGTATTGTCATTTTCGTCTTCAACAACAATCGTCAAATTTGCAGTTGCAGTTCGAGGATCAGTTGTCGATGAATCCTGGGCCATTAAAATTAAGTAATATACATCCCATTCCTCCCGATCTAATGTCTCATTAGTATATAGCATACCAGTATTAGGGTCTATTTTAAATCGTTCTGATTTATCTCCAAGTACACTGTATCTTATCTTAGCATTATTCCCCGTATCTTTATCGGTAGCTTTTGCATGAAAAATCATTGTTTCTGAAGGTAAGTTTTCTTTTACACTAGTCTTGTAACTTTGTCTTTCAAACTCTGGATTATTATCGTTTACATCTTGTACAATTATTTTTACAGTACCAGATCCTGTAAGAGGTGGCGATCCTGAAAATGAAGAAAATAATAAATTAGCGTTAAATTTTACAAAAAAAAAGGCCCTACCCATTGTTTAACAGTTTTAAAGTTATTTAAAATATATTGAAAAAATATATCTCCATTGTAATAGTTCTTACGTTTCTCCTGTCATGAAATTCAATAAGCTATATCACTATACACTAAGCATATATTTTCTATTAATTCTTACCAGTATCCATGGCGACCAGTGCAAGGGTATATTCATCTTGTACTTCGCGATCTAAGGTCCTAAGAAGTGATATTTGTCCCGAAGACGCATTAATTTTAAAAACATCTGCATCTCCTTCTTTTATAAAATAACGAACTTGATTGTTAAATGGTGGTGAATCAGCATCATAAGCAAGGATTGATATTATAAAACCACCATTAGGTGGAATAACATTTTCCATTACGTATGCCAAATACGGTGAATCCAAAAACGTTGGTGGGTTATCATTAATATCTTGAATAGAGATGGCAATTTCTGCAGTATCGAACCTAACATCATCTTTTGCGCAGTCCTCTGCTTTAATAGACAGAAGATACCGTGATTTTCTTTCGAAATTGAGATTTTTTGCCACTCTAACAATTCCGGTATCTTCACTGATACTAAAGTCTCTATTTNATGCCAAATACGGTGAATCCAAAAACGTTGGTGGGTTATCATTAATATCTTGAATAGAGATGGCAATTTCTGCAGTATCGAACCTAACATCATCTTTTGCGCAGTCCTCTGCTTTAATAGACAGAAGATACCGTGATTTTCTTTCGAAATTGAGATTTTTTGCCACTCTAACAATTCCGGTATCTTCACTGATACTAAAATCTCTATTTTCATCACCAGAAGCTATTGAATACCGAACTCTGCCATTAGCATCTTCATCAACATCAGTAGCTGAGACCTGAAAGGAGTAGAGTGTTAATACAGACTAATCTATATATATATAAAAATGAATTGCTGTTCGTTAGTAACGCTAAAACTCGAGAACAGCTGGACCGATTTAGCTAATTTTGGTCTTGAATTATTTGTAGATGTCCAGAAAAGGTTTAAAAGGTAGATAAATATCAAAATTCCTTTTGTTTGTTTTAAGTTTATTTTATACAAAAGTTTAGGTTTTTTATTTATCGATTGAGGCACTACGAAATCCGCCGGGTCAGCTAGTAAATAATAAAAGGAAAAATTAATGTTATTTTCAATTTACCTGAAGCACGCTGGCTCCGATGCTAGCATTTTCCGGAACTGATGCACTGTATTGCTTAGGATCAAAAACTGGACTATTGTCGTTTTCATCTATAATACTAATTTTTATATCCATCTTAGTAACGTTAGGAGGGTCGCCTCTATCTTTTGCAGTGACGGTAATTATGTAATTTGATTTTAATTCTCTATCCAGTTTTCCAGTTGCTCTTATAATTCCATCTACATTACCCAACGAGAAATATCCGTTAATTTCTGGGTTAGGCATCATGAAATATTCAACGTATCCATTTCTCCCTTCATCTTTATCAATCGCTTTAATGGTCATGACAACTGTATTAAGAGGAATGTTTTCAGATATAGATGTTACATTCGGTGTTATAAATTCAGGAGCCATGTCGTTCACATCCTTCAGTTGTATCGTCACCTGTAGAAAAACGTAATTACACATTTCACTTACAATAGAGTAGAGTGGAATTGATATGAACATTAATACTTTTGCGTAATTATTCGTGGTCAGGCATATTGTGAGCTAAGGGTAGATATGAAATCCTCTCTGTGGGCAACATACAAAAACGTGTCTGAATTTCTGCCTGCTTAAAAAATAAAATGCAGAATTAGATATTGCTTCTCACATAGTCCACTATTGAATCGCATGACAAATGATCAATGATTTAGGTAAAACTGAAACTGTTCAGGATCAAGTTAGAGAAACTAATTTCGCCAAAATATCTATCGAAATCAATTTCAGATTTCAATTATAATTTTTTTTATGAGCTTAATTCAAGCGTGTGGAATAGCACCTTGACCTGTCCTCTATCAGAGAAGGCCCAATAGATAACCAAGCTTTTGCTTTGTATTTAATTAAATTTTATAATTAACTTTAGTAATGTTTTTAGCTGTTTTTTATTTAGATTTAAAATAGTATTATAGTATTTTATAAAATAATACGCGGACAGAGGTGGTATCTTCTAATTCGAACAAAACTCCTTAAGAATTCTGTGTTCGTTACAGCTTTTGTTTGCATTTGCGATCATGTTTCTGCAGTTGAATACTTCAGTAAGCTTTGTATCATAAAACCCTGTTTTCAAGAAGTCTCATCAGAGGTATATTGTAGTATCCAACAATGGATGCATAACAATAGCTCGTAACGAACGTGAGTTTTGTAAACATTATGAAAGCTACCGTCCTATGTATTCATTTTATAGGAATACTACGACGAATATTTAGTATGATGCTGGCAGTCCAAGCAGGCAATTCTAAATACGGAATTATGAGGCTGCAGACTGAAGGCTGAAGGTACAGACTTGTAATTAAAAGACTAAGGTATATTTTGATGGAGGTGGGTCCTGGTCATTGTGATCAGAATATAAAGCTAAGATACAAGAATTAATATTATTGTTTTCTAATGGGTTGTTGTTTACAAGTGTGAAGTTATTCGGGACATTTTAAAATTGGTGAAAATTCGAATTATTCCCTTACCTTACCTTACTTTATATATATCAAGCCAATAAAAATATATTAAAAAACGTTACGAGTTTTTTTCTTTCAAACGTTATCGTGTCAAGAATTATTACAAGATACTACGATCTTCATTTCCTGTCATGTTGAGTTTAAAGTTAAACAAGAAAATAAAATTATACTGAAATCAATTGATTAAGTAATAACAGTAATATTGCTTTCATGAGTAAGCACGTATGTGTGTATGCTTTCTGAATACCATGTGAAATACTGACAACTCGTTAGTGAGAACTTACGAAAAGTAACATAGCCCTGTAAGAGTAAACGTTGAGCCTGACAAAATAACAAACCGTGAAGAAGGCATTCTTTGAAATCGAGTTACAATAACTCGACTCCTACAGAAAGTATAAATTAGACTAAAACTTTATTATTTATGACTAGCGACCCGCCCTCGCTTCGCTTCGGAAACATTAAAACACACATGAAACCAAAAAAATAAAATAATTTTTTTTTAAAAAAAAGTAGCCTATGTTCATCAGGGACAATGTCGGCTTCTAATGGAAAAAGAATTTTTCAAATCGGTCCAGTAGTTTCGGAGCCTATTCGAAACAAACAAACAAACAAATCTTTCCTCTTTATAATATTATAATATTATTATTTATGATGGCGTTTCAAATAGCGATTATGATTGATTTCCTTTGCAATTACCAATTACGCACTGTAATAATCTGTGAACAATCGTTACCTCGTATATTAATTACCATTAGCACTAACAGACTAACAAAGTTGATAACATAAGAACGTAACGCAATTATTATTTATAAATCTAGAACGAAAATTTGTGCATAAAATATTTATAACTACAACAAATTAGTTATGTGTTTTTTTTTATGATTGAAGGATTACTGGTGGCCCGAAGGCCTTTCCAGTTTCACCAGGACAGGTGGGCGAGCAAAGGCTCAGCCAGAAGGGGTGGGATTTGCTAACAGCTGCCCGAGCTCCTCCGAAGGAGACCTAACAGCTCAAGAGCAGCTGCTTCGCGAATGAATCTACTACCGGATCGGAATCGCGACCCGCTGAGAAGATTCATGGGTTAGGTTGCACGTCGAACTCTTTGTCCAGTTCGAAGAGTACGGTTACCGGGGTCCCTAAGCCTGCTCCTAGTGTTAGAGCTGAAGACGTCTAGTGCAAAGGTTATTGGATCTGATGGATCCGTAAGGACGTGTAATTATGTGTATTTTTATACCATACATATGAAAACTTTAGTCCCAAAGAGCGACATGTTTATTACGAATTTAATGAAATTAAGATAAGTGAGAGAAAAGCGAAACCAGCTTAAAATGAATGGAGTGTCATTAGGAAATTCTTGTTTTCTATTAAAAAACAAAACGAAAAAACATGTGTCAAAAAAACCATGATTTTTAATTCACTTTCTTGCGTATAGCTTTACATATCATTATAACAAAAAAAAAACTTTATACAACACGAGCAAAACAACTATGTCATTTACTTCTTAATTACTCAAGAACATATTTTTGAATTGTTACCCTTTGGAACCGTGGTGTACAATTTACAAACTGAGACAAATTAAAAACAGTGTGTAAACAATGTTCGCTGTAGCTTCTACATTGAAAATAAAACTTAAATACAGCCTTTGGTGGTTAGTCCTTACAATTTATTTATCACGATAGCCTCAGAGTAACAACCGCATAATGTTCTTTACACTTTATTCTACTAGGCGAGGTCGGCGCAACATATTCTTCTTTGATTAAGCTTACTATTTTACTAGCGGTCATATTTTTGACGTTAAACTCTTTATGTAACAGTGATTGGTAAACTTGTAATCAATATGAATTAATGAGACAGTTAGTTCTTTCTCTTTCTTTCTTTTTCTCTCGTGCGTCATCCATGACACGACTGGTCGGACAGATATAAAAATTAATTTGACCTCAGTTGATGGGTTGTAAAATTAAATCATTTCAATTATTATATTGTTGCAAATCTCAACCAACTCAATCCGTGTGCATGGTGAAACATTGTATAATTTTTACTGCATTTTGTTAATGCATTTTTTTACTATAGATGTTGCAATTATGGTTCGTAAAGCTATCGTGTCTTACAAATGGGAATGCACGATTGATTTGTGGTAGGAACAGGCAGAATGGTGGGCACGTGCTAGCTCACAATATGCCACAGAGATGCTATTAATATTATTACAACTATAATATTATCGATCATCCGTGACCACGAAAACGACCACGTGTAAAATATCAGAAGCTTAAGAAATTAATAAAACAACAATACCTAACCCGAGATTAAACTGTAACAGTCGTTTTAAATATATCTGGGGCCACGAAAAACCGAAGAAAATACTATGATATCTACTTACTTGAACAGTAGACGACAACTGAGGTTCGGGTGGCTTGGCTGAATCCCTTGCAGTCACAACAAGGTTGTAAATTGGTAGCTTTTCTCTGTCTAAATATCTCTCTGTGTAAATAGTGCCATTGTCGGCAATCCCGAAATCTTTGTTTTCATCTCCGGATGTGATGCTGTATCGAATTTTTCCATTTAAGCCTGAAATAAAAGTGGTTAATTATTTTTTTCTTGAAACTAAAAAGGCGCTTTGAATGCTATTAATTATTATTAGTGTACTCACTTCTTAGTATCCCAATTGATTCGCATAAAATAAAGTATAAAATTTTAAAATTACTCTCGTATATCATTCATAATATTTAGAAGAATAATATAATAATAATCTAATAAGAAAATAACATGTATAATAAGTACTATCAAAAATAATAAGATCATGCATCAACAACGTGTTGATAAATTATTACGTTAATTTATTTACCTGAGTCTGAATCCGTTGCGCTGACTGTCACCACTGAAGATCCGATGGTAACGTCTTCTAGTATTTCGTTAGAGAAGCTCATTGGATCAAACAGAGGCGCGTTATCATTGAGGTCGATTACATTCACGTATACTGTAACAGTCCCCGATAATGATGGGTGACCGCTGTCCTGTGCCTGCGCGACTAGTATATAGTGTTGTATCTAGAATAATAACGTATTAAATTAATATTAATTATTTAACATTATTTAAAATATATAAAAAGTATGATCGAATTGGACTTGTATTTTTGTTAGTTTTAAAGAAATTTCCAGCAACTTCTATTTTCTTAGAAATTTGGGTTTATGTGTATTTCTGATATGGATACTCTGTTAACATCGAACTTTATTTTATTTTCTTGCATTAATTGATAAACTAGCTCACGGCAACTGGTAGTGGCTATCGGAGCCCATAGAGATCATAACGTGAATGCCTTACACCCTTCTGAGACAAGCTATCGAAGTCTCAATAGAATTGTAGGTGGTGCCACCCTTTAGTTCAAAACGGACGACTCAATCGCGGCAGACCACTTATGTATATCGTAAATTTTGTGGATTTAATTATTATCGCACGTGAAGTTCATGAACACGTGCGAATCGTTCGAGAAGACATACTATGTAAGTGTTTCTTGATTTTGTGAATACCGATTCGAACAAAGGCATATTCGCATTACTTTGTCACACGAAACGTCTAGTTAGTTTGATGATGAACCTTAGAGGCAAATAAAAGCGCTGTCGCACTTCTCATTGCGCTAGGATACATTCGTTTTCCTTTAACAAGAAAATAATTCAAAACAATGAAACCATAGCGCGTTGAATGTTACAAATAAATAGATCACATTAAAAAGCGTTGACCCGATTGGTAACGAAGTGGGTATTTAGATTTTCCACTTAATAACTTGGAGGCTTTCCAGCAATGACAGAATCCCTCATTCGCGAACGTGGAACGAGATGACGTTTTAAAAAAACAAGTGCTGACCGTGGAATCCGGCCCGGGGATGTTTTGCGGACGGCCGCTTTGTCCGACATTGTTCGAGCCTTAATTTCGATGGCGGATCGAGCGGGCAAATGCCGAATATGATGCGCGACGCGAAAAAACTGTACCGGGATGAAATTAGCAGCTCTCTAGTGGGCTACGGGGAATTGGCGGGCGGTCGAGAGGACTTATGTACTCAACGAATTGTTTTTACTAATTAGCCGAGCCGGCGACTTGATGAGGTCCGGCGACGAATCGCTTCGCATACGTGATCCGTCGACTTCCGATCTTTGCATACAATGTCTCGGAAACGGTGACCAGATAATTATAGCGTTGAAGGATGATTTTTTTTAGTAGATAAAAGTCGCTGATTGGAAAATCCATCAAATACAATGTAAAATGATTGCCCTGTTTCTATGTGCAATCGATATGCATCTATTTATTCTTTGAAGCCTTGAATATAGAAAGTCCTTTTAGTCCTTGATTTATAAATAAATAAAATAAATAAATATTTACTAACAATCACGTCTCTTTAACTGGTCCCGTGCTAAGTTCGTAAAGAACTTGTGTTACAGATATCAGATCACGGAAATAAATGTAAGATTTTTATTATACACCTACATATAGTTATATTTAATATACATCCATAACCCTGGAAAAGTCATTTTATATTTATCATACAATTATCTTTCATTGGCGGGATTCGAACCCGCGACCCCCTTGTGTAGTGACCATGTCACTTACCACTACACCAGAAGGCCGTTAAATATTACTATTGGAGTGAACGTCGGGTAACCATAATTACATCTTTGCTTATGCTTATCTTAAAGCGTCTGTAAACTTTATTTTTTTATTTTTTTTGTTGCTTAGATGGATGGACGAGCTCACAGCCCACCTAGTGTTAAGTTGTTACTGGAGCCCATGAACATCTACAACGAAAATGCGCCACCCACCTTGAGATATAAGTTCTAAGATCTCAGTATAGTTACAACGGCTGCCCCACCCTTCAAACCGAAACGCATTACTGTTTCATGGCAGAACTAGGCAGGGCGGTGGTACCTACCCGCGCGGACTAACAAGATGTCCTACCATCAGTAAAAAGAACTTCGAACTTCGAACTTCAGAACTTCGTTCCAATTATGAAAATACTTCCAACCTATGTCGCAAAAACTACTGCTCAGGTTCGTACATTTTTTGTTTAGAAAATTTCCCGCGTAGAGACGCTTGTGTGCATAAATTTTAAGCAACATAAACTTAAGATGTTTCTGACCATTAGTTAGTCGTTCAATAATTATGTGGCTCTTAGTAGGTGGATACTTAAAATTGTAACGTCCTCGTTTACTAGAGCCTGAGCGGTCAACGCCCCCCCATAAGATCTATGTTGAGATAATTCTTTCAACCGCATTGCGTAGCCCNTTTCCCGCGTAGAGACGCTTGTGTGCATAAATTTTAAGCAACATAAACTTAAGATGTTTCTGACCATTAGTTAGTCGTTCAATAATTATGTGGCTCTTAGTAGGTGGATACTTAAAATTGTAACGTCCTCGTTTACTAGAGCCTGAGCGGTCAACGCCCCCCCATAAGATCTATGTTGAGATAATTCTTTCAACCGCATTGCGTAGCCCCGAGCACTCAGGGGCTGGATAAAAACATGTAAAATTTATTAAATATTGTTTTTTATAATCTTATTTAAATCAAGCGTTTATTGAAATTAATTTACTTTTATATTATTGAAATAATAACGCATGCCATATTTTTTGTTGGGTTCATTTTGTATGGATATTAAGTCTTTTAGGGAACCTTTATATTAGCCAGTGATGAAAATGGTCTTCGCTATACGGCTTATTTATATTTCCCATAAATTTATAAATTTCACCTGATAAACAGTATTCAGGATAAATTGTTGAGGCGAGTAATAAACGTTAACAAGTAAAGCTGGTACTAACAGCCCATTAGGAAATAGTTCCTTCTATAGTAACATAATGTATGCATAAAATAAAACATCCGTTAGTTTTTTCCATGATTCGCTTAGGAGTTTAGTATTGAATGATTAAATAAGCAATTTTCCAAACATAAAAGGAAGTTAGAAATGTTTTTTTTTTTCTGTTTCTGTTTTTCAAAAATTTGTTTCGTGATTTGACGGTAGTTTTAAAACTATTGAACAACGAAAAACTACGCACAGAGATAATTTAATAAAATTGAAAAAAGAAGATCAATTGGTCGTCTTTGTAATTCAACGTTTAACTATTATTTTTGCGAATGTATCTGCAACTGCACAAATATATTTTAATATATATACACACAGATATTCACTTTATGTATTATCCCCGTTGTGTTCTGGCGTTTATGCTTTTAATTAAACTAGAGGTCCCGCAGTAGTCGAAATTCGACTATAATTAATTGGAATTGTAAGTTTGTACACTATTATGATTGTATGTTATACTTCTATAATCGCAAATTTCGCCAAGACTACACTATAAAAAATATTAACAAAGACAAACAATATTTAATCTATTCTCAATTTGACAACAGACGTCAAGAACAAAAGTTTGACAATAAATAGTATGCATGCGTGTGTGCGTCAAATACATGGTATGTAGTGTGTGTAATGTTTTCTTTATTGATTTAACGTATCTTTTATGCATTATTTAAAAAAAAAATACCATTGTGCACTTCTTCTCTATATTCTCTATAAGTGTGGAAAATTTCATACTCCTCCGTCCGCGCAATTTTCGTAAAAAGGGATACAAAGTTTTTGCTTCACGTATTAATATATAGATTACAAATAAATTGAAGTATTGTGTTTGTATTGTCTGCTAATAACACAAGGTAATCAGTTTTGTAAAAGGGTATGCGACTGTCAGAATAATTACACGGCTACTATAATTGACACGGCAATTTATAAACTTCGTATTAATTAACGCATGAATAAATTAAAAATCGAAATCAATCAGACGAACGGGCTCTCGCTCTTCTCGGGCGAGAAGAAACCTACTATAATCGCATTCTTATTTAATCTACTTGTGTTTTTATTGGGACGATATTATCTACTTATCGAATACATAGTTCTGAATCAAATATATGAAGCATTTTTTTGACAAAGTAATGTATTTATGTCCACAAATACCGAATATACCTTTTGAAGTGTTGTAGGTACTTTTTCTGTAACAGCCTACACGTTTACATATCTAATACACAATTTTTTTATTATTGTAATTCGGTAAAAACCATTCCCTGGTCATCTAGTACTAACAGACTACTTAGTTACTACTTTATAAACATTTATCCTTAATTGTAACATCCTCGTCTGTACATTTTTTTTATTGCTTAGATTAGTGGACGAGCTCACGGCCCACCTGGTGTTAAGTGGTTACTGGAGCCCATAGACATCTACAAACTAAATGCGCCACCCACCTTGAAATATCAGTTCTACTTCTAAGGTCTCAGTATAGTTACAAAGGCTGCCCCACCCTTCAAACCGAAACGCATTACTGCTTCACGGCAGAAATAGGCGGGGTGGTGGTGCCTACCCGTGCGGACTTACAAGAGATGCTACCATCAGTAAATTTTTACAGTACATTACTGTGTGTCGCAAAACAGTGCGGCATCCTGGTCTCAAGAGTCGGACAGGCGTTATATAACAGTTGAGAATCGACCTTAAAGTGGCTTAAAGTATATGACGGCATTGACGTACCAGCGCTTCCCGCACCACTTGTTCAACTCTCAAGAGCAAAATACCTAAATAAATACCCCCAATATTTTCTATCCTGACTTCTTAAACTCAGACTGACTGTTCTTCCTTCGGCGCGCACTGTGCGGTACCGTGGGTTTAGTGGAGTCGGAGTGGTGGGGCTCGACGGGGTTTAGTCGGTAGTCGGTTTTGCGGGGCAGCTCTGCCGTGCCGTGCCGTGCCTCGCGCGCCTTTTTCAAAGCGTAGTCTCCCGGCAGGAATTGGAAGAAGAGGGAGACTGAGACTGCCTGAGAGGAGACCTTTTCTCCCTCTTCTTCTCTGGAGGCGCCGGAGTTCGACAAAGCCCGGTCTGTTACTCCCTCGACCGGGTAACCGTAAATGGATTCCACAGCGATATAAAAAAAAGGCTGACTATTCTCAAAGAGGGTTCGTATAGTCGATCAAATGTAGAATTTTAAACTTGAGTGCAATGTGAATATACGTTTTGTTGACTTCACTTGCTACGGTAAAAGTAATGAGAAGAATTCAGAGGGAACAACACAAAGGAAATAATCTGTATGTTTCAAGGTAAAATTAATATGAAACCGCTTCATTCCTCGCACGAAGTGGAAATATTTTGCACGTTTAATCTATTTTAAGTGTTTTTGATTCCACACGTTGTCCATTTTTACGACTGTGTCGCCACATTTTATTAGCGTTTTTAAACTTTTGCCCGATCACCGGATCGAGCCTGCTGTGAACTTATATTGATAATATACATATTTACAACTCAATCGTCTTGAACGCAATTAACTTTTTTCTTGTCATTTTGTTCTGCATTCCGAACGGGCTCGCGAAATAAGAAACCCAATAATTTATTCAGCTTGCTCAGTTTAAGCCGTTGTCTGTTAATTGAATTAGTCGAGAATAAATGTAGATTGACGTCACATTTGTAGGAATATAGTTCTTGTTTGCAAATTTAAAACGAATAAGATACGAAACTAACAATTGTCTTCGAATCAGTCCGATTTATTAGTGTTTATTGTAGGTAATAATGAAAACATCGCACGCTCTGCTGTGACTATGCAAACATTCTTTGTTACGACTACTCGTTCGTCAGCTCTTGTCGATACCAGGGCTAGGACTGAAACTGCGATACTTTACAAATATTTTTCGTATGGAAACTATCGACATCTTGTAGCTGATGTCCCTAAACTTATATGCTGTTAAAGTTAAGGCATTTAATTATTGTATAACCTAAACACAGAAAATAAAAAAATATATCATACAAGTCTCTATTTATTATAAACAAATTGATTAAATTTTATCAATTTGTGGTGTTTGAAAATTTACAAATCCTTCATAAAAATAAAATAAAGGAATATGTTACTGTGTTACTAAAATATATGACTATGTTACTACCATCTACAGGAGCAATGAGCAACTAGTCTAAGCGAAGCCATCTAGTGGCCGACGCCCGTAAACATTTTAGCTTATCTTAGAACTTATGTCTCAAGGTGGGTGGCGCATTTACGTTGTAGATCTCTATGGGCTCCAGTAACCACTTAACACCAGGTGGGCTGTGAGCTCGTCCATCCATCTAAGCAATAAATAAAAAACTATTACTAATTTATGTGTATTATCTATGGTTGATACGTTGATAGTACTAAAATAATAACCTGCGCTGAAGTGCTGTTTGTATTAGATGAAAGACGCAGCTCATACATAAAAAACAGTTAAACAAGCCATACGTTAATTTTTAATATCAGATAAATATATAGTAGATCTACTGACCTCTTCATAGTCGAGTCTAGCAGTGAGCGTGAAGACTCCGGTCTGAGGATTGAGCGAGAAGACGTCATTGGCCCAGTCCGATATGACAGTGTACGTCAATTGAGCGTTTGGCCCGGAATCAGGGTCAATGGCCGCCACGGTGCCCACCACAGAACCTCTCGCTGCGTTCTCGGGAATGTCGAAAGAGTATGCGCTTTCTTTGAAAACGGGCGGGTTGTCGTTGGTGTCCGTTACCTGAAATTTTTATGTCACAAATGCGAATTATGGCAGCTGTAACGTTGAACGTGCTTTGACTGGTAATTTAAGTGAACGTAAGCACATTATATTTAAGTAAGAGAATTTTATGAGTTTTTAAAGTACATTTGTACGTCAAAATGAAAACATTCACCGAGAGAAAATTTACTAAAACTGTAAAAACACTTCGATAAAATGTCATTCATTCGAAATGTTGCAATGAATTATATTCATAGGTACGCAGGGAAGGTACGTAGACAGTATGTATGGAAACAGACCTAAAAGCTTCAATGATTAGTTAATCGCCAGTCATCCGTCGAACAGACATGTGGATGTAGACACCGTGATAAGAATTCAACTGATTGAAGCCGACGCGGCTTTGGACCGAGATGCAGATAATAATATAGATATATGCATATAAACACATCTAACATGATACTCGAGTAACTTCGATGTACAGTCACGAACAGTTACTGTAGATTTATAATTTCATTCTTATTTTGTTCAATGACAATATTCATTAGGCTGTTTTAGTTATTTATGACTTTTTTCCATCAATCGGTGAATTTTAAGCGAAATATCAGGAAATAATATGTTAAAAAAAATGTATGAATAATTTGATCATCTTAAATTAATTTGAGACGAAATAAAAAAAACGCCGTGCTATACCTATCCATATTAGTCAATTTAAAGCTTAAAAATGACTCACGAATGAATATTGTACAATTTGTGTTACCGACTGTACTTTTTTACTGAACATGCTTAAATCCGAGCAACTGCCACTGGTACTTACATGTCATATCGGCAGACAAGCCGGCAGGGAACGGTAAAAACAACAAGTTACTTATTCTAGAAACAAACGAAATGCTCATAATCTAATTTGAACAAAAAATCATACAGCGCGTTCTTTAAAAATGATTTGAATATTAATAGTATATTCATATCTGATAATTCCAGATTAACTAATTAGGTAGTTAGCTTTTTTGCACGAATTTAAACTTATAATTACGACACTTATAAACAAAAGTAATACGTCAGAAATCTATGAAAAGACGCACAAATATAACCTAAAACTACTGTAGCCAAATGTACCACATGGAAGGAATGTTTTTCAATCGTTTTAAAGGCGGCTAAGATTATTAATCTCCCAATTTACGCCCCAATCTAAGCCCAGTGTTCCGCTCTCCACATCCATTTAATTTTATTTCCATATTTCATTATGAGCATATCAAATGACATTGACATTGTAACTAGATTAACTACAAGGGTTTGCACAAATATGTTCGGAAATGTTTTGTGTATTATACAACTCCTAGATATCAAATATTTATATGAAGATATTGAAGCCATTGTTTTATCAAAATATATGTTTCTATATTTTAATACAAACCTGAACTGTTATAGTCACATCGGTAAATTGAATCCCATCTTCAGCTCTGACGATAACTTTATATTCCGGAACTGTCTCTCTATCTAATGGGTCTTTTAGCGTTAGGACACCAGTACTAGAATCCAGAGTGAAAGGAGTCGGTTCCTCGTTCTGTATAGTGTACGTGATAGTGCCGATGGTGTCAGGGTCTTCTGTGGTTATAGTAGCGACCCTCTGTCCCGGTGCCAAGTCTTCTGAAGCCATGTAAGCAGCCGGAATATTCACAAATTCGGGAGGGCTGTCATTCTTATCCAGGATCACAACTTCAACCTGTAAAAGGAATTTCACATTAGTTTATTGATAATGACGAACTTCAGTGGAACGAAAGGAATTTTGAGATGATTAAAAATCGATACTGCAACATTGATACTTCAATCAAAATCAGTAATTGACATATCGATTACGTTAGCATTTAAAACGATTCGATTCCTTATCCCACAAAGAATAATTTTCAAGAAATAAATGCTTATTATTAAAATTGACAACCGTGACCGCGAAAACTGTAAAATATTCTAAACGTCGAAATTGATATGATGACAATCAAAACAAAACGCAAAATTAAACCATAAAAGTAGAATTAAATTATATGAATCGCGAAAACCGAAGAAAATACTAAACTCTTATTCTCCATTCGTTCGTTTTTCTATAATAACATACAAGGAAATTATTCCAATTAAGTTTATTTCTTAAGGAACCTAGACTTTCTTAATTAATTTTATTTAATAAGTAATATTGACATAATTGCTAGTTGTTTTGTTTTATCTATATCTAAGTGGTAGGAAATAAACATGTTTTACGATTCAGAGTTCCACTTGTTTGTTTTTACCTTGGAAAAGTATGAATTGTAAAGCTTAATAACAATTATGGGGTATGTCAATAAAACATAAAGAGGTTTGATACAGACAGAGGAGAGATTTTATCTTTTACCATCTTATAGATAGACTTTGATTGTATTTATGAAAAAGCAATAGCTATTGTGATTAAAAATTTTGACATACAGTAATCGATACATCGATTATTTCACGATATTCTGAAACATAAAAAATAGATGCTAGTTTAAATCATAAAAGCCTCGTATTTTTTTTTTAATTCATTGATATATTGTAAGCACTTTTAGAACTAGTACACGCTACATTATAACAACCTCCACAGACCTAGGCCTACTGAGTTTTTCGCCAGATCCTCTCAGTGGGTCGCGTTTTCGATCTGGTGGTAGACTTAGCGAAGCATTGCTCTGCCTAAGGTCTGTCTTTGCTTTGTCTATATTAGCAAAGTCTCTTAGGCTATGTCTACACGTTCAGTGAAGCTAGCATAACCCCTGGAGGTAACTAGGTAAATATGTAAGGAGGTAAATAGGTAGGCAAAAAAAAAATTTGAACAATAGTTTGTGAGGTTTTAAAAATCTGATAGATGCATACATTTATATAAAATAATTTTAAAGAAGCATTGTAAAAAAAAAAGAAACTTCATAATAAAGTATTTAAGCAAACACGGGACCAACAAAACATAATCAAGAGAGGCCAGTCATGTTTTATTTATGAGGTTGGCACAAAATCGGGTTACTTTAACACAGTAAAAGAACAACGAACCAAATTAATAATTCTAAAAATGCAGCCGCCGGTGACTGTCCCGGCAAATGTGCGGCTTCGAACTCTGTTCGGATTACGGAATAGAATATTGTTTATTAAACAATTAAAAAAAGCATTGAAGCTGTATCCTTGCCTATAGCGTATACTATTTCTTTTGATTGCATTTGAAGCCCTCTGTCTCTATTCCTCAATGCCACTACATCTATTTGTATATATAAAAATGAATTTCTGTTCGTTAGTCTCGCTAAAACTCGAGAACGGCTGGACCGATTTGGCTAATTTTGGTCTTGAATTATTTGTGGAAGTCCAGAGAAAGTTTAAAAGGTCGATAAATATGAAAATATTCTGAATTAAATTAAAATAACAATTTTGTTTTTCCTTTTTTTTTGTTTAAGGTTATTTTATACAAAATTTTAGGTCTTTTATTTATCAATTCAGGCACTACGAAGTATACCGGGTCAGCTAGTACTAATATATAAATCTATAGTGGTTTTTACGGATGTTCCGATATAACTACTGAAACATGCATCCGATTGACTTGAAACTTGGTATCCGTGTAGAAAATACATGTACTTAATGGATATGCTAATACTTATATGAGCCTTGGACTCCCTAATAATGATGACAATAAATAATAATGTTAATTTTAAATGCCCAGCGAAGCGGGCGAGTACGGCTAGTTTATTAATAAGAACGTGATGGTATTACATTTAAACTACTATGCATTTAAGTTAATCATATGCAAACAGTACGGATGTGCCCAAGTAATTTAGCCATTAATCAAGTCAATTCTAAATTAATTTCAGTGACAAATTAAATATGGATAACGTAGAAAATCTATTCGGAATTCGTTAAAAAAATATATGCATCTATGATTGAAACTTATTCACCTCTTATAACAAACAGTAAATATTTAAGGACGCATTCGACGTTTCTGACGTCAGATTTGTGTATCACAAAGTTACATTCATCAATATGATTAATGAAGTGGTTTTTTCCATTTCATAATTTGGACTTTTTCACATACAAATTGCGGTAGATTTTTTTTCGTAGTTTAGATACATTTGTACGTGAATATTAATGACGAATTGTGTCAGAATGTATAATACAACCATTACAAAGAAGGTTTGGATGTTATACCTAAAAATTTAAGTCTATTCAAAGCTGGAAGCTATTAACTAGACATTGAAATGTTTTAAAAAATAAAACAAAAATTTCGGACTTAGAGAGAGAGAGAGAGAGAGACTGATCTCTGAAATTGGTTTGAAATGTTGTTCTTTAATTCCGTAAAAATCTCATTCTCATATCGTGAATAAAAAAGATGAAGATTTTATTTTGAAATAAGTATTCCGCGCCGTTATTTCCGTATGTCACTGTGGCCTAAAAGATAAGAGGCCGGGTACCTTCGTATGGAGCGATCCGACCGAACCGGTGTTCGAATTCCGCAGGCAGCTGCCAATTTTCCTAATCAAATACGTACTTAACTCATGTTCAGAATGCAGGATTAATTAAAATTAGACCCACAAAAATTATAATATACGTAACTGCTAATGTTGGGGCATCTTGTCAGCTCGCATTTCCTGTCTTTTCTGCTGGGAAACAGTGGAGCAACCGGTCTACTGTTAAACTGTGACTAAGAAGTCATCTCAAGATGGATGGCGACATTTACGCTGTTAATTTTTATGATTAACCAACTAAACTCCAGGTGAGCCTTGAGCTTGTCCACTTAACTAAGCAATAAAAAAATACATGAAAACAGCTACATTACTCCTAAATTGATTGATGACAAACCAACAAACACTATATCACAATTTTGCAGTATTGGCAACTGATTTTTTAGCTTAGATGTTATATATTCGAAATTAAGCACTAGGGCATTAAAACTTTTTAGAATTACCGGATTTACGATTAATATCAGCAATCCAAAATACATCGTTTGATAGAAAACGTAACGAAGTCGTACAATTCCTTTAGATTTGATGAATAAGATAAGATTTATGAAGAGGCGAGCTTTATAAACGTAGCGAGTGGTCGTTCATAAAAAAAAAATCTACAGTAAAAGAACTCGACAAATCAACAAAGCCTCGAGAAGTAAGACTGAAATGCTATGTATTTCGTCATCGGCGCCGTGCCGCTACGGAGCACGAAGTATTCGGGACACAATGATCGGGCCCGTCACAGATAAGAAGCGGCCGATTGTAGAGAGTTTCCTGCCCTCAGCGTGGACAGGCTGCGCATTTGTTATGATGACTCAATCTTTCCTTTGTGCTCGAACGAGGGTGCCGTCCCAGCGAGCGAGCACACTCGCCCTACGCATCACGCTTGCACTACGTAACGGAGGCACCAATTAAAGTCGATTGTAACGTCGCGCCTATCGAACAATTAAATTGAAATGTGTTAATAAAATTTATTGTTCAGAAATGAAGAACGCCATGAGAAAACGCGGTGCGTATTGTAAACACTCACATTGTGGACGAAGCTGTACAAATTCCCAATGAGTTTATTAACTTCTGAATGGTAGTCATATAATACGGAAATGACGGAGTTTGTATATCTAATTGTATTATCTAAAGCTGGATTGATCGCTCCGAGCGGTCTCACAACAAACGGGTTTACTCAGGGAACACAACATATTTCACAACAAAAAGACTATAAGGTTTATTATGAACAAAAAGCTTGTGTATCGACGCATTGGCCGTCTATGCGCTATTAGACCCCCTAGAGTTCATGTTTGAAGTAATCGATTAAAGGAAGAGAAATGACAGTCCGTCGGTTTATTGGGAACGTCGATTAGTCAAGTTTCGGTAATTGATTATGGTTCACTACCAAATTAATATGAAATATTCGATGCCTGCTTGTAACTAATATTTTTAATAATGATCTATTTGAATATTACACATTCTTGGATTGTAAACCCTTTTTTTGTTGAGTCGGGAAAATCACTAAAGCCTTGTTCGGACTAGGCGAGTAGTTTAGTCGAGTACCGAGTAATTTAGTGGCTAAACTACTCGCTACTCGCCCGAAAAAATAAAACAAAATGGATTGACTTGACTAACTTATTTACTAACCTGCCTACTCGACTACATTTTTGGTGTTCAGAAACATTTAGCTACTAAATTATTCGGTACTCGACTAAAATACTCGCCTAGTCCGAACAAGGCTTTAAGGATGCATTCTCCGATTGGTAGCGGCAACGGACCAATACACGAGTTACCAATGTGCCATGTGAGGTTTTGTTTATCGTTACTGATAAAAAACCGTACATATGTATGGTTATTGAAATAAACTGTACACACTACCATCAACCACCCCCTAGGCCAGCATGATGTATCTACTTGTTCGGACTAGCTTCGTATGAGAGAAAACTTTTCTGCAGAACTGATGATTTTTTTTCACTCTACCGCTGCTCTTTACGGGCCGGTAAGTGTGGTAGGAGAGATTGGTGGTCCTTATTGTTTCGTAGCACGTTCTAGAGCTTATTCCCACGACAAGATTAGTAGAGATCTACCCATTCTGGATATTTTGCTGGTGTATACAGAAGCGATGTTTAAACATGACCTCTTTTCAGGCAATTGGGTGGAGGTTTATACTGAAGCTATTTGCTTTAAAGCATATCTTTATTTACTGTTTGCCCCATTAATGTTATTAATTAATTACTGTTTACTGGTGGTAGGACCTCTTGTGTTTACTGGTGATAGGACCTCTTGTGAGTCTACGCGGGTAGGTACCACCACCCTACCTATTACTGCCGTGAAGCAGTAATGCGTTTCGGTTTGAAGGGTAGGGCAGCCGTTGTAACTATACTGAGACCTTAGAACTCATATCTCAAGGTGGGTGGCACATTTACGTTGTAGATGTCTATGGGCTCCAATAACCACTTAACACCAGGTGGACTGTGAGTTCGCCCACCCATGTAAGCAATAAAAAAAGTATTTTTTTTTTATGAGGAGCTTAATACATCATAAATGATTTTTCTAAACGGTTATTACTATTAATTCTGATGATCATTCTGATGATTTATCCGAGCTATTTATACAGACCATAACTGATAAATGACGATAAATGGTACTCATTGATTTCGTTAGTTAGCATAAAAAATGTACTATCATTCATTCGCAATATTAGGCGTCGAGGTTTTTCTAAAAAAAATTGTAAGCTTGTTTTTAATTATGTAGAAGCAACATTTATATTGTGAACTATAACGTAAAGATTATTTATTTTCTTCTATGAAGATAACATTTACAAAAATTTCGGATTTTAGTGAGACCCTGAAACAATTAACACTGCTTACTATTTATTAACAACTAACAAAAAATATCGCCATTACGGTTTTTATACTCACTTCGTTCGTCCATCATGAAACAATAAAAAAAATTGTGAGCAACAGAACGCTTAAAATTTACCTTTGTCTCTTTTGTCTCAAGGTGGATGTTTGCCTCGATGTTGGTCAACAGACTAGTAGTTTTTTACTTAGGTCGTGAGTTCATCTACCTATCTTAGCTTAACTACTCGCGATACATTACAGATGCATTATTTAAATTTCTCTAAACAATTAATTTTTTATATTTGTTAACGAATCAACGTCGCGTCATACATTGATGGCTGTGATTGGCCAACGATGACGTCATATCGCACGAACCAATAACAGATCAGGAAACGCCACAGTGGCACCAATTGTCAAAATTTTAAAAATTATTACACGAAGAAAAAAAGATGGACGCGCATGTCAATTCTATATTTGTAATATAATTAAAAATAATTCATTTTCCTGGCCATCTTAAGATACCTCTAAGAAATAGACGCAACAATATTTATATCGGATTATTTGTTAAGCATTATTATTGATTTTAGGTTTCGCTGCCTACAAAAAAATAATCGCAAATACTAATAAGTTCAAATCTTTATTACAATCTAATTTAAGGTGTTCGAAATGAATTCGCGCGATCTTTACATAATCCAAATTGAATCGAACTTCATACATCGCCATCACACGCTTTAGTCGTTTTTGAAACAGACTAATTTCACGGACATCAATCAAAGCAGTCGTTTACCTGGAAATTCTTTCGTCAATTACAATGATCGTCTCATTTTGCTTTTTGGGATGTCCTTAATTAAGATTATTTCTTACGGTTATTATTTCGCTCAAAATTGCCACGTCATAGCGTCGTATAAAGTCTTACGTGTTCATAATAATATGAAATAACTTAACCCCGCTAACGTTAAGATTCATTGCGAATGATAAGAACAACATCAATTACTGTCAATTAGCTGTTGTTAAATACCTGTCGATGGGCGACTTCAGCTAACTGGTTGAGGAGACCGAGAGATAATGCTCATACGCAAACTTGATACGGTATAACCGATGAATATTTAAATATGTACATAAAATATAATTTCAGAATGGGACAGTATAATATGAGAACTCAGTGAGTTAGGGCTGCGCTTAGCTATGAGTGGGTGTACACTTTGGACGGATATGGTGGCATCGTTTAGAGCTTAGTCTATGTTTAGTGGTGGTCGTGACCGCAAAGAGGCTGCGTACGCGCAACGCGGCTTTCCCCTCGGGACTCGCGCAACACAATTATGTTATGGTGTCAGAGATTAGTGCGCTCAAGATGCGATACATATCTTTATTGCCCATATTTATTTTGTGTCTACACATTAAAACATAAATTAATTTAAACTTTACAATAATTGTATCCGGTTTATCTGGACGCGTTAACATAAAAACATACGTCTTCGAGACGTAACGACGGTTTTCTCGCGTATCTGAAATCTGAACAGGAAACGATGTTTTGAAGTTCAATTTTAAACGCGACAGTAACAGGTTTTATGGCAGTTAGTACTGAGCTAGGCTGAAATTGCCTAATTCCGCGTCTGCGTGCTCTCGGCAGTTTACAGGCTGCATTAGCATGCGGGCGCGGGCTCCGCCCACACCGGCTATCGCATCCCCGCAAATATATGTAAAATATGCACAAAAGTACCCGGATAAAGTGCACAGATAAGACGAGACGTAATTTGCATTGCCCTCAGCGCATCGCTCGGAACGTTTCGGAGGCTAAATTCACGAAAAAACACAAGAGTTCGTGCAACACAAATATGCGTCAAGAAATTTTGTAATTTTACACATTAAACTAATTTCATTTGAATTTTCAAAAAGAGCCGCCTCGCCGTTTACTGTTCACTATCACTTGTGCACATCAGCTTTATAACCAGTGCCTCGCGCAGTGAATACCACAAAGTAATAAAAACGTTTTATAAGGAGGATGTCTTATCCATAACATATCTAAGCTTTTCATAGAGATTATAATTTAATTAGTGTACACTATAAAAATAAATAAAAAATCCATAAAACAAGCCAATCGCACTGGAAACGACTATCAAAGTGTAGATCTAAATCTCCCTTGCAGTATTATAAGCGAAATCATCGCAGTACTGCGGCTACCCAAATTTTCTTAATAAATAAAATTACTACGACTACTTGATAGTTACTGGGCATAAGCCTGCGACGTAGGGCTCGACGAGTAAATTAACCCACAGACACAGCCCACTGAGTTTCTCGCCGGATCTTCTCAGTGGGTCGCGTTTCCTATCCCGTGGTAGAATCTGCGAAGCACTGCTCTTGCTAGGGTCAATATTAGCAACACTCCGGTTTGAGCTCCGTGAGCTCACTTACATGTTAGGGCGAAGCTGAAATAGCCTCTCAAGGCTATCAGCATAGGTAGGAAAAAATACTGGGCATAAGTAAAGAAAAAATATGTTTCGGAGTTTGAAACCAAAGGTATTAGGATTCAATTTAGTTTATGCTAAGCCGTCACGTCGTCCGCGTGCTATATGATCTTGGGAACTGTTGTATTATTATGCATGGAGAGATGTTACGGCTTGCGAGAAGGCACGCAAGCACCCTCAATTTCAGCTAAATTCAACACCCGAGGGCTTTATCCCTGCCGTATTATTGTCTGATCGATAGCATAATTTCGTAATAACTAAGCGTGTTTCAAATATTTTAATTCTGTGATTGTTGCATATACACCTACTTGTACTGTATAAGTTCTATGGTATTGGTCTTCTGGTGATTTGCTAAATGTCATGGGAAAAGTTTCCATTATTTTTTTTGGCACATCTTGTATAATTTTTTCCTTGTTCGTGTTATAGCATTTCTTTGGTTTTCAGAAATAGCAGACATAATTAAAACTACTTTTACAGTTTTATATCGCGTTTTTTTATATTATCATTATATTAATTCCGACATTTTGAATACTTTATGTTAATGTTTTAATGAACACGCAAATTGTATTATAACTTATCCGAAAACTGACTATTTAGTTTTATTTGAAGGAGTAAATAAAGTGCCAAATCTATTTTACATTGGTTCAGTTTAGAAGAAAACAAAGCGCTTAGACAGTTGCAACAGTAAATGTGCCCTCATTCGTCTTCGGTAAATAAATGAGATACACGAACGAAAATCACGAGCTCTGAATTTTTCAACGTCGAGTCAGTCGCGGATCCAGTATGATCCACCGCGACGGACCTTCCGCAAGCTTACTAAAGAATACCGAACTCAAATCAACTGAGACCATATTGTGCTTATGCATAAGAAACATTTTTATTTATTTTTCAATTTCGACTCGTCATGCTGAGATACACTTACTTAGTGGTTTTGAATCCTCTTGGATGTTTCCTTTACTTCATATTCAATTTAGAGGAGAACATGTATTTTTATCTATTTAAATGTCATAATATATCATAAATTAAATATTAATTTAAAAATAGTGTTTGAATTAGATGATAAATTTAGAAATAAATAAATATATATAGCTTCGATCCAATCTCAATAAATCTTTTGCACAAAACCCAATTTTAAACAGCAGTCGATGCTCTCTCATTTCAAAACACACAGTTCATTCTGGTCTCTCAGTTTTATCTGTCATCTACCGATGTCGAATATCGCAAGTCATCGCGTTGAAAATAATAGCAATGGCAACAAAAGAATTACAATGTCCGCTGCCAAAACTGTACAATAACACCGGTCGTATCGCAGGTGGTTTCTAGCGATTTATCGGTGGGCGATGCGAGCGATAATGACGGGGCACTTCTACCGACACAGAACGATGTCGCAACCCGCTCGCCGATTTCGGTCTGCCCGTCGGTCATCTCTAACGATGGACCGATAATTAAGATCGGACGTCGGTATTATTTACGCCCGCAGCATCCTGACCTGCCTTGCGATTCTCTAAAAGTCAAACAAGAACTCGCATCTCACTACGAAATTCTCCATCACTTCGCATTCGCAATAGAATGACCTTGAATTGGCATTCTGTAAACACTAATCTTAATTACTCTGCCTCGAGCGAAGTGAAGTGACAACGAAGTTTGTTTATACTACTACTAGGGATAGCCGTTAACACGCAAATGTAAATCGAAGCTTACCGGTTTCAGTTTTTCGTTGTATTTATAAGCATTCTGTAAGAAAATACCATGAATTTAAGCTTTGGTGTTAAAGCCACATCTAATTTAACTAAAAAGAAAATTAAAAGTCATATATTTATGATATTAATTGTAATTTCTGGCTGCACGCTAAGTTCCTTTGCGTGCACTAGCGAATACCAGAATTAAAAAACAAAATTTTAATTGTTTTCAAAACAATCTCGAGCGGTCGGAAGTTTTTATTTTACTTTTTCTAGATTTTTTGTTACTTTGTGAGTGAATTTAACGTTAAATAAAAATTATGAGGTAAGTAAAAGTTAGTTTTCAGGCTATCAATGGTTCATCCATTTGTTTTTTAATCTAAAATTTCAATATATTACCAACAGATTTAACGAGCGTTCTTCTCATCCGACATTGGTGCAAATAGAGGCATTGATAGACGTTTTGGATTAAAAGCTAGCGAAACAAAAGGTTTAATCGTATCTCAACATGTTCAATAAGAGAACAAGGATATTAAAAAAATATAGGAACTAAATTCTCTTGTCAGATATGATCCATTCCCGGTGAGATATTTAGGACATGTTAACATCTATTTATGTATGATAAATCTATCTACTACGTTTTTATTGATATTCTATTTTAACAGGGAATATCGGTAATTTATCTGTATCTCAAATTCACCAATAACAAAAAAATTATATTGAATTAAATAAATCAAATCATTAACAATTTAGGTATTGCAAGTTGGATTGATGTTGTTGGAATGTTTTTATTGATGCAGAGGTGACTGTATTTATGGTAAAGGGTGTGCATATTGGTACAGGGGTGGCAGGCAGTTCCAGAGTATTGACTAAACTGACATTATGTAGGCTAAAGGCTGCATACTCCGTTTAAAATAAATGAACAAAATTTAGGCATAACCTATTTTATTATATTTAAGGAACTACAACAGATTGAAAATACTAATCCACATCATCAGAATATTGTAAGGAGAATTTATTGCCAACTTGGAAAATGTATCAGTATTGGAACAATCCCAAACATACAGGTATGTATGTTATACCTAATTATCTTAAATAAATACCTAAACAAAACTTGCATTTTAAAAATTAATATTTATTGGCTTTTTAGCATTGCATCAAGAATCACCTATTTTGCAGTCATCCTCCCCTAACTAAATGCAAGTGACTTCTACTTATTGTGATGCTACTACTAGTAGCTCCAGCCACAGTAGGTCTCATGTTAGTCAAGAGATTGGGTTGTTAGGTAAGTGTTTATTCAGGTCAAAGTACCTATTCATTGAACAACCATATTAGGGACATTGATTTGTGCATAATGCTGTTACTTGTTAATAAAAACCTTTTCTTGTATGTATTCTAAACATTGTATTTTAACTAACCTTGTTTTTAAATAAATTTATTTTTTTCAGCACCTCAACACCTGACCTGCTATTTCACCACTTTTCAATGAAAAGCAGAGTGTACTCAAATTACAACAAATTACACAGTACCAGGATATATAACTTAAACAACCATGGGGGAATAAATAGTCGACAGTCTGCAAGAAGGATGAACTGTTGGTGGAATTAGCATATGCAGCTAGGAATTTTAAACCTGTATTTCCACATATTACTGATGCAAACAAATTTCAAAATTATTGTATATAACTATTGAATAAAACTATAATAAAACTATTTTTATAAATCATTAATTTATATTTGAAGTTACTTCACACTATAAGTAAGCTAATTAGTAGAATTTAACAAAGTAATTCAACATGACCACCATAATGTAAATGTAATCTCATAATCTGAGATTATGGGAACTGGCAGCTCTGCACAATTGCAAATGTTGTGCAAAACACAACACGCAACAGCTATTTTTGCTACCTTATCAGGGTGATAAATTGGCACCCTATGGATCAGCAAACACCTGAATCTACTCTTTAACAGAACTATTGTTCTTTTCACTGAGTTACGGGCAGTGGAATGAAGGTGGTGCTACAAAGCTTCAGGAGTATCTCTCTCCGTATTAGCATTAGCTAGCCATTATTAGCAGGTATTAGCTAGCATAGCATTATCGCCTATTTCTGAAGCAGTAATGCGTTTCGGTTTGAAGGGTGGCGCAGCCGTTGTAACTATACTGAGACCTTCGAATTTATATCTCAAGGTTGGTGGCGCATTTACGTTGTAGATGTCTATGGGCTCCAGTAACCACTTAACACCAGGTGGGCTGTGAGCTCGTCTAACCATTTAGATGGTGAAATGAAAAAAAAATTAGCAAAAGGTGTCATAAGGTTGGAACGTTGAGCATATATTATACAGAAAGACCGAAAAGATGTTAAATAATTATAATGGTCATTACTTGCTGTCATTGACTAATCTTTAGTAGATTTTATTTTGTTTTTTTTATAACTGAATAAAGTTTATTTAATATAAATACTAAATTTCACAATAACTTTAAAGCAATATACACAATTCAATTTAACTGAAATGAATACAATCTGAATACATAGTTTATAATACACATTTCGTTTATGGATTACATATCATCAGAATTTCGAAAAATATTAATGGCTTTACAAATTGTACATTTTCTGGCATGATAGCCTTTGTGACAGTAAAACCATTTTTTATTGGTAGCAGGTCTTTTTAAGGCCACCAACGTCCCATCAATACACCCAACAACCAAAGTGATTTTAATTTTTTTACAAAAACTGCAATATTTAGCATTAGATTAATATTGGTACTTTTTTATGAAGAAAAAAAATATTTATTTAGTTTAAACCACCTTCTTCTTTTTTCTTCAGTTTTCCTTCAACTTTTGCCATTCTTGAGCATTCTGCGGGAATCTTAAATATTTATATATAGTTGCTGGGTTGTTCAGAGCCTCCACAACCTCAGATATACACTGGGATATCTGGGACAAATATGTTCTTATATTTTCTTTTATGATTTTTTTGGTAACTTCATTTGCCCAAATAAACAAGGTGCACAATAACTGAAACTAAGAAATAATCATTATACAATACACATAGTTATTAGAGAATCTAATTTGTATTCTTTCAAGATATTTTTGGTAGATTAGTTTAGTGGTATTGTTTTACAATAATGGGAGAGTTGGATATAAACAAATGAGCAAACTTTAATAATATGTTTTAAAGTACCTATTTTGTACATAAAGACACAATCTTACCACATGGAATACCTACCTTTAGAAGAGTTGAAAGTCCTTTTCAATGGCTTTTAGTGGTCTTCGTCAAAGGGTGTAATTCACACCCTAACTGGTTCATATGATCCTTCGACAATCTATACACTTTCTTTATACTTTTACATAGTCGTCATCTCAAGTTAAAAGTGATAAATTGTGAATTTCGTAGGCTTGTCGACGCATTTCACGCTGATCCGTAGCGTCAGCCTTTTCAACAATGTTTTCAATAAAAACATACGCTCCATAAAATATCGATGAAGAATAAAGTTATTTTAAAGTGCAATTTTGTTAATTAATAGTATTTTTTTAATAATTAACAGCGGTTTATAACGTTTTCGTATATTCTCACTCACAACAAACACTTAAAACACTAACTTTTGATTTGACAAATAAAATGATTTTGCGATGCGAAGTTCTTGCCGAAATTCGACGTGATTTACACTACAGAATGCCGTTTCAAACGTCAACTCATACATTTTAGTAAAAAAAACTCACGTTTGCTAGTTCAATTCACCCGCGAGGGGCGCTAGTGTAGATTCGGCACTGCAATGAAATTTACAGAATGCCAATTTGAAAACTCACACCAAATTCACGTGCGAGTTTGTTAAACAACGCTTACAGAATCGCACGGCTGAACGCGAGATGGTCACGACTTTTTCCGTGCCGGGCGGGACTATTGTAGCATTTGTTCGTGTTTAGTTTGTCTACTACAGTTGTTATTGTGGGCAGATAGATCAGTTAAGTTTACAAGATGCTGTGTTAATTTATGATACGATGATGTTTTAAAGACCGCTATATTCAGCACGTCATTCGTTGAGAAAGTATAATTAAAGTTTAATATGTCACGGAATGTATTAGCAGAATCTTTTCTTAAAAGCTTTTTTTGTTTGGGCACTTAACAGCTTAGTGTGACCCTTATAAACGAGTCTGCGACGTAATTAGTTAATGGCTAATGGGTAGGCTTCTATGTTGTATGTATGTACTCGAAGTAAGAAAAAACCTTATGGGTTAGTGTTGATAAAAATATGTATTAACTTAGCCATGATTTTTTAGTTAAAATAACGATGACGAAATTATGTAGTATGCCTTTCAATTCGCATAAGCATTTGAAGTTTTTTTTATTTAATTTTTTTATTACTTAGATGGGTTGACGAGCTCACAGCCCACCTGGTGTTAAGTGGTTACTGGAGCCTATAGACATCTACAACGTAAATGGGCCACCCACCTTGAGATATAAGTTGTAAGGTCTCAGTATAGTTACAACGGCTACCCCACCCTTCAAACCGAAAAGCATTACTGCTTCACGGCAGAAATAAGCAGGGTGGTGGTACCTACCCGTGCGGACTCACAAGAGGTCCTACCACCAGTAAAAAAAATAAGTACCAGTAAAATATTGTTTGAAACATGAAAGTGAATAGTTTAATAATAATATTATTTTAGAGCAGCGTTGGTTGATGTCACCATTCCTCATGGCGAGAATCTCGGTAGACAGATAGGATAAATTAATAGATTATTATACCTGGCCCACTGTACTACCGTCATGTGGGATGTTAATTCACCTCCCATTGTCCCAATAGTTGTGTCGGTACACGGTTTCATAGCGAAAAGTTTCGACCAACTAAAGAAACCTTTTTTTTTTTTTCTTAGATTGGTGGACGAGCTCACAGCCCACCTGGTGTTAAGTTCTGGAGCCCATAGACATCTACAACGTAAATGCGCCACCCATCTTGAGATATAAGTTCTAAGATCTCAGTATAGTTACAACGGCTTCCCCACCCTTCAAACTGAAACGCATTACTGCTTCACGGCAGAAATAGGCAGGGCGGTGGTACCTACCCGCGCGGACTCACAAGAGGTCCTACCACCAGTCTTCTAACTTTCGTACAGAAAGCAGTTATCCTTGATACGGTCCGTATTATAAGAGGTTTTCTCACTCTGTAGCCCTAATCGCTGCCTTGTGTCGTAGACACCGCCATCAGCGGAAACGTACATATTTTTAGTATGGTGTTTTTTTAAAAGTATATTCTTAATAATATTTTTTTAAATATTGTATAATTAATAAGATTTTAATAAATATTATGAAGTCGGCGTGGCCTAAAGGATAAGACGTCCGTTGCATTCGTATCTAGCGATGCAACGGTGTTCGAATCCCATAGGCAGAGTATCAATTTTTCTAATATAATACGTACTCAACAATTGTTCACGATTGACTTCCACGGTGAAGTAGTAACATCGTGTAATAAAAATCAAACCCGTAAAATTATAATTTGCGTAATTACTGGTGGTAGGACCTCTTGTGAGTCCGCATGGGTAGGTACCACCACCTTGCCTATTTCTGCCGTGAAGCAGTAATGCGTTTCGGTTTGAAGGGTGGGGCAGCCGTTGTAAATACTGAGACCTTAGAACTTATATCTCAAGGTGGGTGTCGCACTGACGTTAGAGATGTGTATGGGCTCCAGTAAACATTTAAAACCAGGTAGCTCGTTCACAGCACGAGCTCGTCCACCCATCTAAGCAATAATAATAATTCAAAAAAATCAGTATATTGAAGTCTGGTCGTTTGTTTGATTTGAGCTTGCATCTTCACATTGAGGCCATAATATATTATCCCGACTTATTATATTCACTCCCAGAAATAGTAGTCTATAGAATATGTAGTATAATATACAGTACCGTTAACTATAGATTCTATTACATGTATTGGACACTAATTGTTTTGTGTTCGCAGCTTAATGGGGAGGAATTTATAATTAATTATTCTTCAATGCATTTGGTAATCCCTACTACCATTGTAAAACTAAATATATTTACGACAGCCATATTTTATGCATAAGCTTAATTGAGATCTTGTAAAATATATCGCGGGGCACCTATAAAACGAAATGCAGACGCTGAATAAATTAATGAATTTTCTAGAAGCGGTCACGACGCTATGTATTCGCAATTACTCCTTAATATAATGCACTCGTAAACAAGAATCTGATCGCAATGAAAATCGTTATTTAATATCCATATCCAATCAAAATAAGAATCCTCCTCCTCCCTCAGTCGCATTCCTTATGTCTGAGGGTCGTGACCATCTCCTCCCATTACCTTTCTCTGGATGACATTTCACCATCTTCCTCTGTTCTCGGTGGTGTGTATGGCATCGTAGACTTTGGTACCCAGAGTGGTGCGGATTTGGTCGGACTAGCGCATTGGATTGCGTCCACGAGATCTTTTGCCTGCAATCTTGCCAGTTACCATCAACTTTTCAAGATTGTCACCGCTCTTTCTGGCAATGTGACCGAAGAACTCAAAGTACCTCTTGAGGCAGATGCTAGAGAGTCTGGTTTTGATATTGAGCTGTCTTAATATCGATGCGTTAGTCCGATATGCTGTCCACAGGATTTGTAGCATCTTCCTCCAGCATCATATTTCGAAGGCATCAATGCAGTGGCGATCAGCTGATTTCAGAGTCAGAGAATTTATGTGTTAGAAAAAATATTTAGAATTTCGTGATAAAATGTATAAACTTACCAACAATGATTCAAAAAGACTTGAGTCAGACCTTTTTAGAAGATATTAAAGATTTTATTTTTATTATTATCGATACATACTAATATATAAATCTATAGTGGTTTTTACGGATGTTCCGTTATAATTACTGAACCATGCATCCGATTAACTTGAAACTTGGTATCCATATAGAAAATATATGTACTTAATGGATAGGCTAATATTTATATGAGTGTTGGATTCCCAACACCAGTTGCGGGGGCGTTAATGATGAGAATCTCTGTGGGGGTGAGAAATAATAATGTTAATTTTAAATGCCCAGCGAAGCGGACGGGTACAGCTTGTCTATTATAATGTTAACAAAACAAATATCGTAGTTCAGTGAAGACTAATAAATAGTAAATGTGATAAAGTTTAGCGACTTGGCTGTGCCCTTGGCATTGCTGACGTCCATGAGCGATGGTAACCGCTCACCATCAAGTGGACCGTATGCTCGATTGCCTAATAACACAATAAATACAAAAATCAATCTAATTAAACGAATAAAAAAAATTGCTAAATAAATGAAAATCTGTTATTTCGAAAAAAACATCACAAGCATCCTTTTTGCTGTGTTCGTTATAATTTTTATAGTAACATCAATTTTATTTCCATCTTTTAGTATTATTAAAGAGTATACCTTTTTACGCCACAGATTTTATAGATGTACACTAAAAGCTTGTAATTGTTTTATGGCCTTCGTATAATGGCGAAAAGACACGCCGGTATGAGCCGGGCTTATCCTCTATCTATGCACATCGGTCATGTCGTAAAATGTACATACAGCATTTTACATGTATCGTATATTGATGTAAGTAAACCTTAACGGCCTTGTTATCGCAGCGTAACTAGCCTACGCTGTGCTTTGTTTCTTCTGATTGTATTTTGAGTTGATCGTCAATGAATAAAACACGATTTGCTAAATTACATAGCCCATAATAATAAAAAGCCTAAAAAGTTCATGTGAAGTATTAATAAATGATAAGATTTTTTTTTATTGCCCTTGTAGGCAGACGAGCGTACGGCCCACCTGATGGTGAGTGGTTGCCGTCGCTCGTGGATTTCAGCAATGCCAGGGGCAGAGCCAAGCCGGTGCCTACCGCTCCAAGCAGCTGCCTACCGCTCCAAGCCGCTGCCTACCGCTAATACAATAATTGGCGTCTGAAAATCGTATATATTGAAATCAGAGAATCCTAATTTATCACTGGACTCCAGTCTTGATTGAGGTACTTTTTCCATCAACTCCCAGTAGAAGTATTTCAATATAAAAAAAAAATTCTTGCCCAGCTCTTCTTTGGTTTGTTTAACTTTACTAACAAAAACAATAGACTAACGGCGTACCTAATGCATTATTTCCCGGTCCACCTGATGACTAAGCGGAAAAAATAGACGGGGAATTGGCGGCACAAAAACTTAAGTAAATACAAAATATTACAGTAATTACGAAAAAAAAAACGTTATAGAAGACAAAAAGTAAATCAGTTAGGTTTTAAGTATGGTATTTCAAAGTAAATACACTACAATCGATCAACTCTCGTTAAGGACAATGTCAATTGCAGCATGAGGTCGGGTCCGATTCTTCTTACTACGAACCTCGAAGCGAATTCTAATTTTATATGTCTTGAATCGTAGCTTTTCTGTTCACTACGGGCATCCCATTTCAGACAACACAACCCTGACTATTTCTGCCTTGAAGCAGTAATGCGTTTCGGTTTGAAGGGTGGGGCAGCCGTTGTAACTATACCTGAGACCTTAAAACTTATATCTCAAGGTGGGTGGCGTATTTACGTCGTAGATGTCTATGGGCTCCAGTAATCACTTCACACCAGGTGGGCTGTGAGCTCGCCCACACATATAAGCAATAAAAATAAATAAAAAAAAGAGCTAAATTATAACTAAAAGCTAAGTAACGAGCTAACTAAACCGGTTTCTGTGAAAATATGGTTT